GTCTCTCTACTTTCTACAGGTGGCTCTCTATTTTCCTACTCTCTCGTCCTCTCGTTCTCTGTTCGAAATGCTGTACGTAGAATAGTTGCATATGTACTTGTATGCGCGCAGAGTACGGAGTACCATGCACACGTACAAGGCCCGTCCCGCCCTCATGGGGGTTTTTTACGATGGGACAAGAGATCGATAGCTGTTTAAACAATGGAATTGATGAATTGATGCCAATAGATTGGGTAGATGGAGATTGCCTTGTAGGTATAGTTGCAGTATTACTAGCTAGAAGATAAACCATTTTTGCCGGTCATGAACTTCACCATTGCTAAACGTTGCTCACCGGACGATAATCGACGGTAGAATCCGAAACAACGGCGGGGACGTTGACAGCTGGCAATCAATCTCTCGAATCCTTCGGCTTTCGACATCATCCTCCCCTCGTCCGACAAACGCAAAACGAACGTGTCGCCGCACACTCCGGCCACGAAAGCCGGCAACCCAGCTAACTGCAAGCTTGATGCACATCAACTACCAAACTGAGTCTACAGCAGCCGCTCGGACGTGCCCACCACCCGCCGCCAGCAACCGGGGCCCGCGGGAAGCAGCATGCGGCCAGACTAAGTGACTTGACTCATGAACTACTCGCTGGCTATAGTACTCTGTAGGGCAAAGGAACATCTCAGAAACAGTCGTATCGAATTAATGGCGGTTAGAAACATTAAGCAAACCAACAATCAATGAAAAAAAGACAAACTCCTTTCCGATGGAACGATGAAACCTTTATCTCCGGAGGACATAACCCACCAAATGAGCGAATCTCCCTCAAGACTCAAATTATTATAGGAACAGCAGAAGAAATAAAATAGGACAAGAGAACCCCTTGCTAATTAAGCGACTCTACACAACTCTTTGGAGCGAAGTAGAATGGTATAAAATGGAGAAGAAAAAAAAAAAAAAACGGGAAATAAAGAACGCATCTCTCTGGTATCAACAGGGGAAAGGCTTTTACATAGCGAGCTGGAGGAGAGCACCAAAGATGGCAGCCATTCCCATGGCGGGAACGTTGGCAATGTTGGCAGGGGCAGCACCCTCGCTCGAAGTAGAAGTGCCAGAAGCAGCAGAAGAGGTGCCACTGGAAGTACCAGACTGGCCGTTCTTGCTCTTGGGGTTGGACTTCTTGGCGGAGCAAGTGTACGAACCACGGATAACCTTGTCCTTGTGCTTCTTGTCGAAACCGTCGCAGTCGAAGTCACCAGTGCTCTGCATGTTGAAACCACCCTTGACGTTGCTCAGTTCGGGGATGTCGACGCTAGTAGTCGTGTTAGCAGTGCCAACAGAATGATAGAAATGAACGCATGAACTCACCTGTCAAAAGCACCGCTAAAGTCAATAGCACCAGTGATGGTCTCGAGGCTAGGGAAAGAGATGTTGGCAAGCTTGTCGTTACGCATGATCTGGAAACCACCGTTGACAGTCTCGAGCTGAGGCATGCTGAGGTTGGAGAGCTTGGCGTTGTTGTTGAAAGCAAGGTCACCGGTCTCGGTGAGGTTGGGGGCGCTGAATGTCTTGAAGCTGTCACCCCAGAAGCCCATCTGACCGGTCAAGTTGTGGAGAGAAGGCACGGAAACGCTGCTGACGTTACGGAAGGTCATGTTGGTACCGCTGGCGAGGTTGGGGAGCTCGATCTCGAGAGAGTCCATGTTACCAGCGAAGTTGATGAGACCGGTGGCCTCGGTCAGGTTGTTGACGTTGACAGTCTTGAGGTTGGTGTTCTCAGTGATGTCAAAGTCACCAACCTTGTTGAGGGAGATACCGTCAAGGCTGGACAGACCAGTGTTGGTGATGGCAACGTTGCCGGCCTCAGAAACACCAGTGGCGAACTCAAGCTTCTGCAGCTGGGGAAGAGCAGTGAACTTGATGCTGCCAACGCTGCTCAGAGCGCCAAAGTTGAGAGTATAGAGACCAGTAAGGCCATCGAGCTTGAAGATGTCGCCGATCTCGCCGAGGTTGGGGGCAGTCAGAGAGGTAAGGTTGCTAGCACCAGTGCAGCTGAAACCACCGGTGATCTTCTCGACATTGTTGAAGGACAGGGTGTCGGCGACCTCCTCGGAGATTTCGACATCACCCTTGAGGGTCTTGCACGAGCTGTAGCCGTCGATATCGCTCTGGCTGGAGATCTTGATGGTCTTGCCCTCACCGCAGGCTGTATTAAAACCTTGTCAGTTTCCCAATCCTTCGGACAACCCATTATCAATTGAGGATCACTCACAGGAACCGAGAGCAAGTTGACTCGCCGCCAGGACGGGAAGAGCGTACTTCAGAAAGGCCATTGTGATAGCTCTTTATTCTGATCAAGAAACCTCGTTAGTCCTCCTCGATCACGATATAGGAAGGGATTGATGGATTTCGAATGCGACCAGGGACTGAGTTTTAACGGTCGAGCGCAGTAACCTCGAGCAACAACCGAGTCGAAACACAGCCTGTGCGAGTCCGAATGCAAGACGTACCGATATAATCGAGTAGTGAAAGTTAGAGATGCAATCTGGATAATAACGAGATGGTAAGCGGTTATTCGAGAGATGGAATAGAAAGCAGCGTTCTTTTGGGGTGGGGGAAGAGGGAGAACCAACAGTTGGATTTGAACGAGCGAAGGGTTAAATGGGAAGGGGCCAAACGAAGGAAGCTGCCGGGGACAGGCGCAAAGTGAGACTCGACAAGAAAAGAAGGAACGGGCGGGAAAGGGAAGAAGAAGAGAAGAGAAAGAGAAGAAAAAAGAAGGACTGGATGATGAAGGAGAGAAAGCGCAACCAGAGGCAAAAGGGCTTTCATTCAGGGAGGACAAGAAAGGAGGCGTGACCCGCGCGGTGGACCGGTATGGTATTTACGATACAGTTATTTACGGTAGTTTGATTCAGGTCCTGGCCAATAATCACACGCAATGGCAGCAAGACAATACGGTACCTGGCAAGAGCATTACTGTTATGACAGCCGAAAGCGCTGCAATCCTTGATTCGTGACCGGAAATGAAACCGATTTTTGCGCCCCCTAGTTGGTCCCAGCGTGTAACACATCGCCAATCGATGCTGCTGTTGTCGCTCTTCATTGGTCAATATCTAGGATACTAGCCCCGCCCGGTTATCGTCAGCCACTCACAGCCATTTTTTGTTTGCGTTGGCTGTTAGAACCGATTCTGGCCATTTCTGTTTCTGTTTCTGTTTCTGTTTTCAGTAACACCAATACAGAATGCAGAATTGTATGCCGAATGCGCCACAACCACAATCATCAAAGCTGAAAGCATTGGAATGAGAGGTTCATAGTCTATTATTTGCAATTATGATCGATAACTAGAATTGAATGGTTTCGTCCCAGTATTGAGGATCGAGAAGATCCAAATCTTGTTTAGGAGTAAGTTACCCGTAGAACTAGTACGGACTAGAATGGCTAGTAATACAGAGTACTTCATGCAGAACCATACCATACAGAAATCAGGATATCTATGGTAACACCATACCGTCCGTTATTATGCATCCATGTCATATATCTGTACTCCGTAGTCCAGTATCACAATGCTTGTTGTCATTGTTCGATTCTAGCTCTATAAATACCTGGAGAAAGACGGCCAACACAGCTCAGTGAATAGCTCAATTCAGAATTTGCCACGATCGACGACTATCAATACAAAACACCTTACGGTATCGTCCCAGAGCAGATAAGGCAAAAATAAAAAAAACCAACCTCCTGGATGAATGCCATCTACTAACTACAAATACTCCGTACATCGAGGCAGCTGAGAGTTACATACCTTACAGTGTCAAATGCCAAACCCGTCAACCGAATTCAGCGACCACATAGAGTCCTAGTCTTCCCCGTCCAGAGTACCATTCGGAATAATACTCGCCAGAATCTGGTCTGTACTCGGTATACCGGTAGTACTATTCCGTAGAATACATACGTACAAGCTCCTAAATTAAGAGTGGCGACATCGATTCCGGTGGTCTGTGATTCCTGGTTCGGGTTCGAGCGAAGGACCAGGGAATGTCCCGAAATCAATTGGTGGTCCGGCGTATTTGGGCGTATTGTTGAATAATGACCTGTGCCTGAGCGACGCTTCCAGACTCTCGCTTGCGGTTGATCCATCATCCGTATGCCCTAACCGGGATTCTATTGTGCATTTTATTTATGCGATACTCGTAACAGGTATATTGCCATCGGCTTACTCGTTATGGTTGCAGTCTGCTCGCTTCTGATGCGCTCGACAGTCTCTCAGGGATGCAGCCATTCAATGACAGTCACTGACTGTGATTTTCGATCGCTAAGATTCTTCACTGATCTCTCCACTACGCTCCGTCCGGGACTCCACATGACTATCCTCGGCTGTTCTACGTAGCATCATTGGTACACGCAGTACGGAGTATGGAGTACACGAACATGGTCAAATGATGACCTCTATCTACAACGCATTGTTCTAGAAGTAAATATACAAGCACCCTTTGCTCTCTGATAAGGAGTATGGATAATCACTGATCATCCTGTATCGACATCAATGCCAAGTAGCACGCTCACTCCCGGCGCCACTTGATACAGGATGAGTGGCTAAGAAGCGAGGGATTGACAGTATTCTACTCCGTACTATGTACGGAGTAGCATGGCGCCATCACTCCGATTAATAGTATGGAAACAATCTCATTATTCTTATTCAATACAATAATAATTAATGACTACGTCTCATTCGGCTTATTCCTGATGATACATAAATTACGGTGCCATACTTCCGTACTGTACAGAATGTGCGACAGTACTCTATACAAACGGAGTATTTTTAGGACATGCAAAACGAAAGAGAAGCTTTTTTATGGTTGCCTAAAACCCACCACGATCCCCCTTTATCGAATGGGAGTTGGAAATGGGGCATTTTATTGATGCTAAGCTCTGTGATTTAACTAATAACTTTAAGTGGACAATACCGGGCACTATTAGGGATAGTTGTAAAACACTCTGGGTATAAACTCCGTACAGGTCGCGATATAGCAAATCCTCTCACCACTCCGTACAAGTAGGGCGGTATGCCTGAATTGTTTCCCCATTATATCCATGGTCTTTTCTGGTTAGACACTTTCAAAGGGAAGCACAAGGCATTTCCTTGCCGATCAGCTTTAGCCACGGTATAATCGGGTTTGAAGAGCTTCCTTGTCCCCAAGTTGACGGTTCTAAAACCTCCATCTGGGGTAGGTACCCTTCCCGGGGGACATTCCATCAACCCAGCAGAGTACATGCGCCAGTAGTCCCACAGGCCAAGACCCAAACGTCGAAGTGCTGGGACATCCCAACATCTGAACCACTCTGGCAAATTCCTTGTCCTTGTAACCAGTAATCTGAAAATCACCCCTGTTCTTGGAGCACTATTCGCCCATCCCGTAGAGAGTTGCCATTTAAAATCAGCCTTATTAGTGTCATTAGGCGCTGGCGGTGAACACCAAACGGGATAGTCGCAGGGGTGAAGGGAATTATCACAGGGTGCAAATAGCGGTAATAGTTTTTCCATCTTCATGTGAAGGATTTCTTGGAGTTGAGGGAAGTCTTCGTGTAACAGAGGCCCACCCAAATCATCCATGAGCACCTGCAACACAGACCAAATTGAAAAGCCAAGATTCGCAGTCCGAACGTCCCGACTTTGTCTAGCTTATCAATCTCCTTGGCAGACCAACTCCAGCCTCCCCATGAAACTTCTCCTGCTGCGTCATCGCCGGGTGGAAGTCGTCTTTCGGCAGCTGCTCGAAGGTCCCAGCAGTGCTGCAATTGCCACAAAGCCCAGTAGGTACGGTATTCCTCAATCCACGAAGGCGACCACCCGGCCTTCCGCACCCTATCTGGACCGGACATCGATCCAGTAGGAGTAGCCCTTAGTGCGGAACGGAAGTTCTGCAGCATGACGGAGAGGACCGCGCATGCCAAGCGTTGAATCTGGGCTGCCATGTGCATTGTGTCCCATATCACGGATTGTGCTTCATTACAATCGTGCTCGCTGAGAAGCTTGGATGCATCGGATGTGAGGTGAAGATATTCAACTAGGCTCGCACAGCGAAACGAAGGGACTCGAATCATAGCCACCTTTCGTATTAAATTTTGAATCTCTGGGTCTGCACCGATGGACCAGGAAGCAAGAGTGTTCTCGAAAACAAAACGGGAATTGGCTTTGAATATTGCGTTTACTCGAGGTGAAGCATGAAAAAGACTGTCGACCCCAAAATAATCGCCTGTATGTTGAAGTATTTGAAGAATTATCTCGACCGAAAAGTCGCTCGAAGACATTCATCATGGTAGTATGGAGCGGAACGATGCTGATATTGTCCTGAACAGCAAGTATACAAAAAAAAAAAATTGTATATTTCCTTGGTACGCATAAAAAGGACTCAATATCCTTTTTATATGATATGGGCTTTTGGTATTCCTTCATAGGCAACTACATTACACGGAGCTATCGCTTCCCAATATTGGAGGAAGAATGGTCCTTTATCACTTCACATCAGTAATAAAATCTTTTGTCTACATGCAGCCGGGATGCTTTGATTTGTAGATAGTATCTACAGTGGTACTTAACGAATCTACACCTCCAGCACACTGAGTAATGGCTCCAGAGTATCCTTCGTTCCACGATTGTGCGCAATCACTTTAACCTCCTTACCAATCTCAGCTTGCAGCTTCTGAAGTGCCACAAGTGTGAAGTCCATATTCCTGCTTTGCTTAAACTGCTCCAACACAATGCATTTGTGGTCATCTGAAATTCTTCCCTTCTTTTGCCGCTGTGCCATTATATTGCATAGGAGTACATTCTTTTCTGGCTGGGTCTGCATGACATGGATGAGCATGAGAGAGTACTTTCTCTCATCTAGATCCTCAGAAACCTTTCTGCTGAGTGTACTGGAGTCAGGATTATCAGTAATGAGTGAAATGAATTAAATTTGGATAGTGCTTACATCAATGGAAGTGAGGTTAAGGTAGTCATCTCAGATCTGGAAGTATTGCCCCAGAAGTGTCATAAGATTAGTTAAGTCAGGTTTTGTTTTTGAGGTTGATCTGATTTGCATGAGCCTGGATATCATGCAAAACAAGCCAGCAGTTTCTGCAAATGCCAACTGTCAGCCACTGACAAGCCCTTGTGATAACAGAAGACTTACTATAGTCCATCATCTTCATATACTCCTCTATAGATGGACAGAAATCAACCTCAGGCGCCGAATTACCCCATGACAGTTTGCAGCTTACTTTTCCGATTCAGGAAGGACAAACAGCCATGGCGAAGAGTTCCTCGCCGATTCAGCCGTAGAAGTATAGTGCAATGTTGATTGTTGGTCCAATTAGATCTTTTGTTGAAAGCTGAGACCTGCTCCCTAGCGTTACATTGGCTACATGTGGATCTGTATATAGGTGAACAATAGGCTGTACTGTATCACATACATGTTCAGTGTCAAACTTATATAAAGAATAGGGAGACCCCATCCAAAGAGAAGTAGCTTTTCCTCTGAGCATGATCTGCTACCAGGAGGTACAGTATTTTATTTCTCTGAATGTCACTTCTGTTCACCTACCTATTGATCCACTATATCGGTTCAGAAAATGGAGTACCGCTTCTCGTATCTGATGGACCCGTCAGATTATAGAACAGATGGGCTGTGCGACGGAATTGCTGTCCGCAACCACCGGAACGCAGCTGTAGGAGATCTCGGAATCATTAGACTGCACAAGGAGTGAAGCGAGTACATTGGGCCTCCACCCACTTCTGCAAGCTGCGGTGGTTTGGGCCTACAGTACGGCTTTACACCAGTGACATTACCCGAATGTCTTCCAGAGCGTCTTAAGATTGTTTCGTACGCAATTGAATTTGCGTTTGTTCATGATGATGTGGTCGATCCACCAGGAGAGACCAATATAAGTATACCGTGGTGATTTTGCAAAACGTGGGCTGATTTGAGAACAGCGAGTTGACTTGACTTACAGTCTTGTGGACGCCTTTCATGAAGATCTAAATGGCGGGTCTAAGTCTTCTTCTGGCGGGAAACTCATGCAGAGCAGAATGGTCCAGCAAATGATGGTAATGGATCCGAAAACAACAATGACATTGATGAGATGCTGGGCAAAATACCTCAAATATGGCGGTGATAACCGCCAACGGACGAACTTCGATGATTTCGAAGATTATGTAGAGCACAGAATTATGGATTGTGGCTCCTGGTGAGACCCGGCCCTTTAATGACAACGTAATGCGATGACCACTGGGGACTGACTGCAGATAATAGGTTCTTGACTGGGCTTTCTCTTTGCCATGGGCCTCGTCGTCCAAGAAGAGGAGGAAGGGCTATGCCATAAGCTGGCTAGACCAGTTTGGGGTGCGGCTAGCCTTATTAATGACCTCCAGTCCTGGGACAAGGAGTACAAAATAGCTCAGGCACACGGTAACCATGAGCTGAGAAACGCTATTGGGTTGTTGATGAAGCAACATTCAATAGATGCTGGGGCAGCGAAGCAGCGGTGTTGCCAAAAGATCAAAGCTTTTGTGGCAGAGTACGTCCAGACTCTTGAGTACAATAAAGTCAGGTAAGATATCTCAGAGTCTGTACGCATTTTTGTTGAAGCGATGCAGTATATGCTCAGCGGCAATCTCATCTGGGGCTGGCAATATCCACGGTACAACCCTGACTGCAAACCGAATCAGCTGCAGCTTGCCACAATGAGAGCACTAGGATATCCGTTGTCACGGGCTCGGAAACTAGCAGATAAAACGAATAATATTCATATCTAGACTAGGTAGCCTAACGACGAGAATATCGAATCTGGGGAAGAAGAAAAGGAAATCTATCTAGGCGATGAACGGTCTTTATAGGCATTTTTGTGGTGCGGCTTAAGCCCTTGTTTGCCCATATTGCTTGTATGGCATCGTTTGATATGTTGGCGCTGTTTGTCTGGCGTTGAGCCGTTGAGCCGTCACATCCGTTTAACTCTCCCCCGGAGCTTCTTCATCGCCTCAATGATCCCGGTGTTATCCTCCGTCGAGGTCTTCCAACCCTAAGCAAGGCTGTCAGTACTTATCTATCACCCTTCCCGATGGCTCAAAACTAAACTCATACAGATCGTCGATAGTCCATCACATTACATTGATTCCAAACCATCCAAAGGTATCCGGGAGAGGACGATAGATGCAATAAACCTCTGGCTCCAGGTTCCGGAACAAGACTTGGCGGTAATAAAAAACGTCTGTCGCTTGCTGCACGGGGCCTCCTTGATGCTCGATGATATAGAAGACTCGTCGAAATTCCGCCGCGGTCAAGTATCAACACATACTGTTTTTGGCAGTGCCCAGACCATTAACTCTGCTGGCTACCGGGTAAATGAGGCCTTGAAGGAGGTTAGCAAGCTTGATGGTCCCGAATGTACTCGAATTTTTTACGGTGCGTACACAAGTCTTGCTCCATGCATGGATATCGGGAGAATTTCTATACATCGGGCAGAGCTATGACCTCTTTTGGACATTCAATCTCACATGTCCATCTGTGGAGGAGTATATGAAGATGATGGACTATAGTAAGTCTTCTGTTATCACAAGGGCTTGTCAGTGGCTGACAGTTGGCATTTGCAGAAACTGCTGGCTTGTTTTGCATGATATCCAGGCTCATGCAAATCAGATCAACCTCAAAAACAAAACCTGACTTAACTAATCTTATGACACTTCTGGGGCAATACTTCCAGATCTGAGATGACTACCTTAACCTCACTTCCATTGATGTAAGCACTATCCAAATTTAATTCATTTCACTCATTACTGATAATCCTGACTCCAGTACACTCAGCAGAAAGGTTTCTGAGGATCTAGATGAGAGAAAGTACTCTCTCATGCTCATCCATGTCATGCAGACCCAGCCAGAAAAGAATGTACTCCTATGCAATATAATGGCACAGCGGCAAAAGAAGGGAAGAATTTCAGATGACCACAAATGCATTGTGTTGGAGCAGTTTAAGCAAAGCAGGAATATGGACTTCACACTTGTGGCACTTCAGAAGCTGCAAGCTGAGATTGGTAAGGAGGTTAAAGTGATTGCGCACAATCGTGGAACGAAGAATCTGACCGTGACAAAGATTATGATGCGTGCCCGACCCGAGAGTATCTTCCTGTGCCATGCTTCATACCAGCGTCGCAGCAATGTCCGGTCCTCCGGTTTCAAGCAAATGTCTTCCCGAGCAGAATTGTTCTGGTTATGTCCTTCTCGCATTTTGCGCTTGATGGCACCGGTGCTGGGACGATTCTGGAAGCTCTCGCGCAGTGCTACAAAGCGACGGGTGATGGTGTCACGGAGCATGGACGCTCTCTAGCTGTATAGCATGTTTGCTTACTTTGGCCTGTTTTGGGTAGGGCATTCACTGAGCATGAACGCTCGCTAGCTGCATAGCATGTTTGATTGCTTTGTCCTGTTTGAAGTATGGCAACAACCCCTCGCACACAAACTAGATAGTCTGTTGCCGGCAGGCCCTGCCTGTTTCCTTTCTCATGTTAGAATTTCGTCAGATATTCTACCAATAGATTAATATTGCTCGAGACCGTCACAGATGGTACAGATGTGACTGTTGCGGTTAACATTGCGAGGACCGAGGTCGCTCTCCGGAAGGATGTATCATCGCGGCCATCAAGATGTAAGATTCGACTGGATCATTCACGTGATATGGCCGCCTGTGCTGGATTATAGCATTGCATCTGAGCAATGGGCAGCAATGGAAGCTGCCATGTCCTCAACTATCAAACCAAAGAGCTTTAGGTTCAGCCCTGAAAAAGTCGCCCAGGTCAAACAGAGATGCAAGAAATCTCTGCCTATGCTTCAGCCATCATCGTTTATTTCCAGCAATGATATTATCACTGCAATTTTGGGAATCAGTATCGATAGAGCCCAGCATCCGAAGAGAGCAAGCAACAATGAAAATGCCGGCGTTACTATGACAGTCGACCTCCGGGGCCGCGTTCAGCCTCCCCTTCCGGATACATATGTTGGGAACACAGCATTTCCAGTACAAAACGATACCCCCCCCCTCTCAAGACCACCAGATACCAGTTGAAGACGCGCAAGACAGACATTCTTCGCCTTACACAGGTCGTGCTCCAGCTTAGGAGTAAACTTGCCTCGATAAACGAAATCCCGGCGTACAGTGTATCCGCGTAGGTTGCTAACCAAGAAGACTGGTGTGGCCTTGAAGCAAAGCCAGGGGATGTAATTGTGACCAGTTGGAGACACCTTAAGACGTTTAGTCTCGATTTTGGTGAGGGGCTGGGCAAGATTTTCGATTTTGAAGCAGGTATAACCTTAATACCCGGGGCGTGTATTGTCATGCCGTCGAGGACTCAGGGGGATGGATCGAAGGAAGAGTCTACGACGGCTTGGGAAGTTTGTATTACTATGAAGCCGGATGATTTTGGTGTCCTTGTGGATGATCCGTTGTTCAGAGGTATTGTAGCTTAAATGTCGACATATCAACCCTGACCAAGTTATCCACACGATTATCCTGTATTCCTTTGAATACCATGGTATGACCCATTAAAACGATAAATAGTACCTGTCACCGTAGATGTAGAGCATGCCAAGATATATATAGAACACCCCACAGCCAAGACTTCCGATCTCGACCTTCTTTATGACTTCATACAGGGGACCTTACAGCATTCAACCATATGCCATCGAAAAATCTCTGGAGATCAATTACCCCTCACTCCCAGTCTGCAGATAATGATGGCTGTGAGACGCTCAGCGCGTTTGAGCGCGGCCCCCAGCAGTAACCCGCTGTCAGCAATCCAACAACCCAAGATCAACAGAAGCCAACACAGCGGGATTCGCAAGGCACAAAAGCCAACTACCAAAACAAAGAAATCACAAAAGATCTCTGCTGAACAAGACCCACCTGCAGAAGTTCTTCAAGTCGCAGAACCAACGGCGACACCACCAACAGCAGCAGCAACATCAACAGACCCAAACGATAACATCTTTGACCCATCACTACCAACTGATAGCACTCGCGGGATTCATTCCACCCCTCCTCTCGACCGACCCGTCGAGCCACACAGAACGAACGCAACCCTCCTCACACCTCATGGGTCTTCATTAGTCGCCTACCCGCCCGGAACGGAGCAAGTCTCGCCCAGCAAGACGGGCCGGCCCCGTCCCACATCGACTACAGGGACACTCCTCGAGAAAGCCGTCGCGCATTTGATAGCTACCGATCCACGTCTCGAGCCGGTCATCGAGAAGCACCCATGCCATCTATTCTCGCCCGAAGGCCTGGCGGAGGAAGTCGATCCGTTCCGGAGCTTGATCAGTAGTATCATCGGGCAGCAGGTTTCAGGGGCGGCGGCCAAGTCGATTCGGGATAAATTCGTGGCGTTGTTTAATCCAAATGTGGAGGATATTACTCTGCGGACGAAGCGGTTCCCCACGCCGGAGGAGATTGTCCAGTATGATATCGCTACGCTGCGGACGGCGGGTCTTTCCCAGCGGAAAGCCGAGTATATTCAGGGATTGGCGCAGAAGTTCGCTGCTGGGGAATTGAGTTCTCGGATGCTGTTGAATGCTAGTGACCAGGAGCTTGTGGAGAAGTTGACTGCGGTCCGGGGATTGGGGTTGTGGTCGGTTGAGATGTTTGCTTGCTTTGCTTTGAAGCGCATTGATGTTTTTTCTACGGGTGATTTGGGTGTACAGTGAGTGCTCTTGACTCGATTTTTACTGGCAGAAAGCTAACAAAATGACAGGAGAGGCTGCGCAGCATTCATGGGCCGAGACATCAACAAACTCAAGGCAAAGGGCGGCAACGGTAAGTTCAAGTATATGCCGGAAAAGGAGATGCTGGAGCTAGCTGCCAAGTTCTCTCCATATAGGTATGTTCCCTTCTTCCTATGCGCTCAGACAAGGTGATATGGATGCGGACCCTTCTAATGTCATTATAGAAGCCTTTTTATGTGGTATATGTGGCGCGTGGAAGGCGTGGATATTGCCGTGTTGAATGCTTGATGCGGTACAGTAGCATTTGTAAACGTATGTTACTCAGATGTTGGGTTATAGCGGGCTACGTCATGTATGTAATTTGCATCTCTGGCAACCTTGTTCGGGATGACCATTGTGCAGCACTTACGATCACCGCAATACCATGGGTGGGACAAGAGAACGGCGAAAAATTGATTTGTACAGTATCAGTACACGTAACTGAATGGTTCGACGAAAGGTCCAGATGGTAATCGGCAACACCAATTACGCAGCCGAATTCCAGACCCAGCCTCCCGATCCTTCATACCACACCCCTCTAGATAACCATTGTTCCTTTTCTTTCTATTGTTTGCTTCTCGATGGACGGGCGGAATCGTTTACCGACGGACGGAGAGAGTGTCGAGGTCCTCACGCTCCTTGCGCTCCTTCTCGATCTCACGGATGATGGGGCCCAGGTACTCAACGTCCTATAAACGGTCAAACATTAGCATTTATCGCCATTTTGGAGCCTCAATTCCCCTTGATCACAATTGCAGGAGCTATAACCCCGATATAATGCGGGTTACAAATCCGCGCCACGAGATTGGTCAATGGGACCTGACGTAGGAGGCAGAGGGAAAACGACAAGCAGGGGCTTAGAATATGGAAAAATGAACTCACCTCAGAGGGCTTGGTCTGCTCCTCAGGGGGAAGAAGGGTGTGCGAAATGGAACACTATATTAGACGAGCAAAATATTTAGATCATTGGTGTTGTCGATGGCGATCACGGAGGGCTAGAACGAACCTGGAACGCTCTGCGGATACGGAAGACACGGTCGTAGGACTCCTTAGCAGAAAGACGCTTGATAGCAGCCTGGGCGACGTCGTTCTCCTCGGGGATGATGTCGTCGAACCTAGCTCTAGTCAGTACTGCCCAGTGTGTGTGCAAGACAAGGTCCGGACAGGCGGAGACTGAAACAAGACAAAGGCGAATAGGTCGGTGTATCGTAATTGAAGCCAATCGTTCCCAGCCATGCCGCCTACACCAGCGCGTCTTCCTGGATATCGCAGCAGGGTAACTTACCTCAATCCGAGTCTCCTGTAGCCGGCCGCGTCCATGTACCACTCAGCGATGGGCGTCATCCAGCGCTTGAGCCATGGGCGCTTGACAATGTAGCTGGTCAGAGAAGGGGCGGACATGGTGTATGATTCCCAGGTCAACAATTGACGATGTGGAGTGGGAGGAGGGGGGAATCGCAAGAGGTCTGCTTAAGCCGGGCGTTGGAGATTGTGCAAAACAGACGTTCGGGCGGGCGACTTTCTCCGTTGAATGCCTGATTTATGCCTGGGAATCAAGGTATTCACTCCGACCGATTCCGATATGCCCCACGTGATATCAACGTGCCTCAGGCTGTCACGCGCTTGGAGCCGGGTCCTTTGCTTGCTTTCCGCCTCCACCTGACCGCAGACGACTTCGATCCTCCTCCATCTGCGTTTATCCCGGTCTCCCACACTACTGTTTCCGCGTGCTTCCCTTGCTTGCCCTCGCCATCCGTTGTTTCCCGTTCCGATCCAAATTGACGTCCTTACTGTGTTTCCGCACCTATTGTTCATGTGTGTTGGTATGGGGATCGTCAACCGTTGAATTCCGGATTGCTCCTAGATTGGAGCTGGTATTTAAGGGACCCCGCCCCGTCTGTTCTTAAGATAGTACAGACGTCGACATTCGCAGCACAAAACGATTGCTCTGATTTTCTCTCGTTTGCCGTGTCAATTTGATCCTCGCACTTTCCACCCCGCCGCACGACCGCTTTCTCCAACGTCACAGCGCAACGAGCCATACGATTCTTGGTTTCCGGAACGAGCGCGATATGCTCGGGTCCGGAGGCCATCGGTGATATAGAAATCCGAATAACCTACTAGGCCCGTGGTTGAAAATATGTTATCAGAGGGCCATGGAAGCTCGGGAGCTTCGAACGGCTCCCAAGAACACCCAGCATCTCACGCTCATCCTCCCTCGTCTCACGACACATTTACCTCGAATCTCCTTACTCGCATCAGGATATTTTCCACTCATATACCGAAATCCTATGTTACTCCGTTTTGCGGGGCAAGTGCTGGTGTAGCGTCGGGGATTGTGACGTGCCCTCTCGATGTCATCAAGACAAAGTTACAAGCCCAGGGTGGCTTTTTACGGCGGTCGGGGAATACGATTGAGGCAAGGACTTTATACCGTGGCATGTTAGGCACAGGAGGGATGATATGGCGGGAAAATGGTCTCCGAGGGCTCTACCAAGGACTGGGTCCCATGCTTCTGGGATATTTGCCTACGTGGGCGGTTTATTTGGCAGTATACGACCGGTCAAGAGATTACTTTGAAGAAACCACTGGTCAGTTTTCTCATCCTTTGTTGAAATTGGGGGCGAGTTTTACTAAAGGATAACAGGTAGTTGGTGGTTATCGAGAGGTTATGCTTCCGTCACGGCAGGCGCATGCTCGACCATAGTGACGAATCCAATATGGGTCATCAAGACACGGCTCATGTCTCAAAGTCCAAGGTCCAATAGTGAAGGCTTTAGGGCACCATGGCAATATAAAAATACGTTTGATGCGGCTCGCAAGATGTACCTGAACGAAGGGATTCTCTCGTTCTATTCGGGGCTTACGCCAGCGCTTTTGGGATTGTTCCACGTGGCCATTCAATTCCCACTCTACGAATATCTGAAGATGGCCATTACGGGTTATGGGATTGGAGAACATCCCGAACACGGCGACTCCCACTGGCTTGGGATTTCTCTCGCTACATTCCTCAGCAAGATCTGTGCCAGCACCATGACCTATCCACATGAAGTGTTGCGGACAAGGCTTCAGACGCAACAACGGACAATGTCGCCGCGGTCCTCGGCCGAAGAGTTAACATTCCGTGAAGGGACAGAGAAGTTAAATGGCCGTGGTCGTCCTTCAGGTGCTGCCTCATCGGATGGCATGCCCAACCGGCCGCGGTACACCGGCATCGTCCGTACTTGTCAGACAATCTTGCGGGAAGAAGGCTGGCGTGCATTTTACTCGGGAATTGGCACGAATCTCTTCCGTGCTGTTCCGGCCGCTATGACTACGATGCTTACATATGAATACCTCCGGAAATTGATTGGCACTATGCAGCATGACGGAGAGATGGAGCGTCGACAGGCTGAAGAGAAAGATCTCTCCGGGATTTAGCTCGTCTTGAATGCTCTACCAGTGTCTGCCAAATGAGTGGCAGCGAAGACAATCTTAAGCACAAGCCTCAGGTCCTTTATCCGGTCAGACCGACGGACTTTGGATACTTGTGAGACTTGCCATTTTATATGCTTAACGTGTACTTTTATGGGGTTCAAGGCTGGCCGAAGGGGAATATGATTGTTTTCGCCCTTGGCACAAATTGATGCCTCTGTTTCGAATTGAGAAGGAATCGATCCCAAAGGGAGATTCTGACACATGCAATTGTGCCTTTTGTTTTAGATTGAAGGTTGTTTACCCTGCCTTACCGAGGAATCCTTTTTGTCTTTGATGAGCGTTATCGTCTATTCGTCTCTATTGTTATCCTCGTTCTGCATGGATTGCATGTTGTGTACATACATATCTACGTACCTACTACCCTATAAAATATACATACTCGCGATACTGGATGCCAATCAGGGGACAAATACAGCCCATATGGCAGATGACGTCAATTAGACATCACGTGATTAGTCTTGGCAGCCCTTGTCTACCGAGGAAAAAAACCAACCGCAGCCAAACACACTTCCGCACACATTTGACTCGAAAAAAGAGATTCGACAATTGGCAATAATGTGATGCCATTCAGGTACGTGTCTTGCTTGATACAATTGCAACCACTGCTTTTTCATTGCCGTGATGAACCTTATTTTCATGATCCAAGTCTACTACTTTCAGATTTGGAGGTGATCATATAAACACACTGAAAATTCTGACCGTAATGAAATGCGGGATGCAATTGCTTTTTTGTATTTCTAATTTTATTCACCTTGCTGACTTTACTTGCAGATACCGAATGCACGACCATGGTAGTGATTCATAGGCTCCTAGCAGATAGTTACTGTACTCAGACAATTGACATTGACTTCATTCTCCACGTGATATCATAATCCCACATCCGGAAACCGGATGATCCTCAACTTTTTCTCCCCTGCTCCACTTCTCGCTGTTCCTCCAATGCCTGCTGCACCCAGGAGAGTTGCTGTTGCTGCCGTGTTTCGGATTTTTTTCGTTGCGAGGCAGGGGTGTATGTAGATTGGGATTCACGACGGGCGGTACGGATGGAAGTGATGCAGTAGGAGCAGAGGAGGATTGCCATTGTAAAGGCGGCGATGGGGGCGTTGAGGGACTATAATAATTATTAGAGTGGCATTGTTAACAGGGCTACGTACTTGTATGTCGCGATGTGTTGCGACCAGGGTGTAAGATTATCAGATGCGGCGTATCAGATGGATCAGATAAGGAACCACAAAGAAAGAACTTACGCCCGCCGGCCTCCCCAGAGTCTTTCTGTTATTCATGATAAGCGCTTTCGGCCAATGGGAGAGCGTAGTTTGCCGACGGAAAACGTTGCTTGGTAATGGGTTTGGTCTGGCTGTGAGTTGGCGAGAATGTAAGAAGGGAGGACGTTTCGATGCCGGACGCTAGAATTCGTTGGAGTTGGGCCGTTCTCCGCCCGCACAACTTATGAACACAAGAGAACTGTACTCTACCCCAATGCCCCGGAGAAAACTGCTATACAAAGTAATGCTACCCTTGTAGAAATAGAAAATGATAACAAGAACCAACAAAATACACCATTCAACGTCATAAACTGTTAGCCCCGAGTCGCCGACGCCGGACGTCCGGAGGCGACGGTGTTTCCGCATCAGGTTTAGCGCGGTCTGAATAATCCGGGCGAGAATTATTACTGCAGTCCTAATCAATCGCCATCCTCCTTCAACGACATCATTCTCACCACTTTCAACCACACCTCTACCATCCATCGATAACATATTATAGTCACTTGTGATCCCTTTACAATCTTCACCATGTTCAAGCGTATCGCTACCGTCGTCCCCCGATCCTTCGGCCCCGTTGTGACGCCTCGCATCACACCCGCCCTCTCCGGTGTGCAGCAGACACAATCCCTCTTCCGGACGCAACTCCCTCAAACAAGGAGCTACCATGAGAAAGATATGTCGCACATCCTCCCAATAACCAAAGAGGAAAATACTGACTGCATGCACTGCTAGACCACTACAACAACCCCCGCAATGTGGGCGCCATGAAGAAGGGTGAGGGTGACGTTGGCACCGGTCTCGTCGGCGCCCCCGCCTGTGGCGATGTCATGAAGCTCCAGATCAAGGTCGACAAGGACTCCAACAAGATCAGCGACGTCAAGTTCAAAACTTTCGGTTGCGGGAGTGCCATTGCTAGCTCGAGTTATCTGACCGAGTTGGTCCGTGGGATGACCCTCGATGAGGCGGGTAAGATTCGCAACACTGAGATTGCCAAGGAGCTTTGCCTTCCTCCTGTGAAGTGTATGTTCTTCCCAGTTTGTTCTTATTTATATGATTTGGGTACTGACAGCCACAGTGCATTGCTCGATGCTCGCCGAGGATGCTATCAAGTCTGCCATCTCCGACTACTACACCAAGAACCCCAAGGCCATCAAGACTGACCTTGGTGGTACCGGTGCTGCCATTCCTGACATCCAGATTGAGGTCGAGAAGACCTCTGCCACCGCCTAAAAAAAAAAAAAAAAAAAATTTGAAACGACAAAAAATATTTTCTTTTCAAAAATATTCGACTTGTGATACCACCTGATATGTCCATTCTTTTCATGACATGACTTCTTTCTACTTCAGCTGCGCTTTGCTCGAGTGACAGGATTCAAGGTTGAAGGAGGTTTCTTCGATTCGTTTGACAAATTGAATTTGTTGGATGTATATTTTGCTTTTTCATTTTCCTTTTGTTCAACTTTACTTTTTTTCTTTTCTTTTTTCTTTTTTTTTTTTTTTTCTGGCGAAGCCTTGTGTTATAGTTCTCGGAGCTATGGTGTCTGATAGTTAATGAAAGAAGCACCGAGTGTGCCTAAACCAGATGTTCAGTTTCTATCCAGTTTTTATACAGTGTCACTGAAGTAGAGTATGAAAGACCTAGTTAAATACAAACGCCATCGCTGATGCACAGATTACCCACCCGTGCCATATAAACAATCTATCTATACTACACTTTTCTGTATCCAACCATTCCTTTACACATAAACATAACCCATCCCTATCATTACATCCAATATACACAACCCAAAGCAACTTTACAACAACCCCACCCGACTCTTAACAGACAACACAGTCTCATAAACCGACAACTTCAACTCCACCCGCAAAAATCCCATCCACGCAACCAAGAACCGGAGGAAGTTCAGTGGACGGAGTAATCCACCGGCCGACTCGCGGATGTTCTCGAGTTGTTCCTCGTAGACGGTGCGGGTGGCATAGCGGGCGAGGATGAGGAATGTGCGCAGCGGGCCTTGGCGGGTGTGTAGGTTTTCGTCGAGGTTGCGGGCTGTCTTCATTAGCACCTGTATCTTATCTAAAGTGGATAGATGGGTGAGGGGGAAGGGAGGGAACGCACTGAGATCATTAGTCTTGAGAATGAGAAGGATAATTCTGGGTACCTGGCCCAACAACTCAACCAACTGCTGCAACATGCCCTCACCCAGCGCACCAGAGATATTATCCTTCTCATCCGCCGTCCTCGAAGACGCCACATTCCTCTGCGTAAGAACCTTATAATCCCGCCCCGTAATTGCACTCGCAAACAACGGAAACTGCTCATCCGTCACCCCCGCAACCTTCCTCGCATACTCCCTCATCCGTCCCTCATCAGCCTCGATAACCGCAAGCCAGAGCTTCGCGTAGTTCCTGCGCAGGTCCCGCGGGATCTCACGGTACAAGCCGTGGTCGTAGAGGATGATTTCGAAGTTGGGGCTGCTAGAGTTGGGGTTTGGGCGGATGGCGATGTTGCCGCCGTGAGGGTCGCAGTGGAGGGGCGCGTTGTCGCCGAAGATCATCTCGTTGAAGATGTGGGCTAGGGTGGCGGAGACTTCGTCGCGGTCGATGTTGTTGGCGTCGAGGAAGGGGAGGTCGTCGGGGCGGCGGCCGGAGATGAAGTCCATTACGAGGATGCGTTTTTGGGCCCACATGACTGTTTTTGTTAGCTGTATACTGTAACGGAGATTGAAGAGACATACCCTTTGGAATAACCAACGGCGCATCAGAATGCTTCTTAAAGTAGTCACTTGCTTTGGTAGCATTCTCCGCCTCACATCGGAAATCCAACTCCACCGGCAACGAAAAGTCCATCTCCCTCGATAACCACTCAAGATCATATTCCGGGAAGAACCTCTTCAGCATCGCAAACGTGAATCTCGTCAACGCCAGATCCAACGGCACCCACTCTGCCAACGCCGGATGCTGCACCTTCACAGCAACTTTCTGTCCCGATTCCCTAAGCGTACCGATATGCACCTGCGCCAGGGAAGCGGCGCCAATGGGTTCTGAGTCGAAGGACGTAAACATCTCATCGATGCGACGGCAAGTATCGGCGAGGAACATCTCTTCGATAGATTCAATGGACGAAACGGGGCATTTATCCTGCAACGGGATGAAAGTCGTCGTCCATTCGAGCGGAAGCAAATACCCCATGCTACTCAAATGCTGCCCCAACTTGATAAAGATAGACCCATTCTTCTCGAGCACGCGTAGCGTCCGGTCCGCACAGCGCTTGTGACAAGCCTTGATAATCTCATTATGTTCTTCCGGCGAGGAGGCCTCTTGCTTCAACGTAACCCGATAACTAGAACAAACCCAAACGTATAAGTAGACCTCCTTTAGTAGTACCTTGGGGGACAAAACGAGCTTACTCATTTATACAAACTGCCAACGCACTAACCACTCGCCCGGTCCTCGCCGCCGCTCGATATAGATGTCGCACCTCGTCCGAGTACACTATCGCCGCAACACCCAGCGCACCTCCGATAATGAGATATGTCTTCTTGCGCGAGCGGCCATGGCCCGATTGCTTCTTTCCATTGTTGCCGTTGCTGGCTGTTTCTTGTGCAGGGGACTCCGAACTATAGTGACGTCGTAGCGGCAGGACTCGCCCCCGCGTGCATAGTTTCCGCGGAGTGGTAGATCTGTTTTTCGGGCTGGCGAGTGATCTCGACGACGGTTTTGACTCCACAGTAGTAAGCGATGTGGAATAGAAACGATTGAGTGGTGCTGGTGCCGATTTCGTCGTATGTCGGACGACCGTCGCAGGGTCAAAACCGGAAACCCGCCACGGCGTGCGGAGCGCTGCTCTCATACCGAACCGGAGGGGATGGGGCGTCGACGAACAACGATGTAATTAGGTGTGATATTAGAAAATTGCCGTACCTGGTTGGGAGTTCAAACCCAGGCCATTGTTGGATATAGTCGCAAGAAACGCTGGTCGGCCATCAGGAGAATTTCGGGAACTCGCCGCAGTTCGGACCGGCGATGCACGTGATCCAGGGCTCGGTTGGACTACTGTTATGTATGTCCAGTTCATGGGTTCAATGTATTCTCTATGTATAACCTGTCTTTTTATGCAAAAAGCAGATACCCATTCAACTCTAATAACGCTCAAAACAATACCCAAAAAACCACCCAAAGTAAACATAACACAGTATGCATAAGCAGAATTATAGACAACGTCACATAAAGAATGCAAACCAATCATGACACCCAGTCCTCTCCATGTGTAGGCCGTCGTTGCCGGTAAAGAATCGAATCTCGTCGAGGCAGCGAGCTAGGAGGTCGCATTTCATCTTCCGGTAACAAGTCCGTATGAGACCGCTTAGGGATCCCAGATATCCCGCGAGGCAGTCTGTTCCTCGGTGGCCCAGAGGCACCATTCAGATTCAACCCAGGTGGTGGTAAGACAGGACTTCCGTCTTCCCGGCTGGCGGGTCGCAATACCAGCGCTGAACCGCTAAGAGCGTTCCGTGGATGTCGTGACTCTCGTCCTTCGTAGTATGCTTTCGACTGGCTTGTTCGAGGAGTTGATGGGGCGGATTGGTTTGGTAGAAGACCGGGAGGCGTGGTGGATGTGCTCTGGCGTCTCATTCCTGGTTTGCGCTTCCCTAGGCTGTACGTCTCGCTCGATCTGATCAGTTTCCCGGCCATGTCTCTGACCAGGATGGCTGGATCATTCTCTAATTCGCTGATGGCACCAAGCAGACCATATGCGGCAAGAAGACCCCCTTGTTCTTCACTGGCATCGCAAATACTCGATATGATGCGGAGAAGATTCAATCGAACCGCAGCTTTGTTGTGGTGCAGTTTCTGGCCTAATCTCGTGAAAAGGTCAGGTCGTGCAAGTGTCGAGGCAATAGGAGGACTTAATCTTAGGAGTTTCTGAAGAGGTTCGAGGATATTCTCGAAAGCGTTCGCTTTGGAAATGGTCAAGCATTTGACAATCGAGTCCGTAAATGATGGCCTGTCCAGGCGGTTTTCCAGCAGGTGCTCTTCGACCTTGGCCGTTTCTTCCTGGAGCCAGGTAAAAATAGCATCTAAAGCGGTAACCTGCCAGTATGGATCGGAAAGTAAAGAAATATAGAATGCGAGACCTTTGTTACGCCACAGCTCACGGCGACCGACTTTGCCGGAGTGTGCCATGTCACAAAGGATCGGTAGAGCGAATTCCTTCAGAGGTCTGTCAGTTTTGACAATCCTTTGGAGCAGAGGGACAATGCCATTCAAGGCTGCGTCCTCTTGTCGTGACTTATTGAGTCGACACATGTTGTAAATCGTATTCAAGATCTGATTGGAGACTTCTCGGAAATGGGGACGCCTGAAGGTTGAACGCAACAAGTCCGCCAGCACGTCAATGGCATTCGAATTCTGAAGGGAATCAAGAGTAGTCGAGAGCATCGACAGGTTCTTGATGAATTTCAGCATGGTGATCTGGTGAGCCGGAGTCATGCGCCGCAACTCTTTCAGAACCCGATGCAGTACTGTCCGCTCAGCAACCATCTCCTTGACATGATTCTCAGCCTGCGAGAAGATAAAGAAGATGTTTGCAATCCGTCCTTCAACAATCTCGGCCAGTTCACCCTCTTCATCCAATACCCTGCTTAGTACGAGAGACAGAGGGTCCAAGACGGAGTTGCGGGACAGGATCCTGCAAAAGTCATTCTTCGGAGTCGAGCCCTGCAATTCAAACACACTCCAAATTCCGTTAACCCCGATCAGGACGAGTTCACGTTCATCTTCATAATCGTCTTCCAGAAACTCGACCAGAACGTTCAGACCTCCAGCACTAACAAACATCTGCAATGTGAGAGTGGACGTCTGATACATTTGTTGTACGAAGGCAGCTGCCTCAAGTCGAATCTCACGAGGGTACTTCTTTGACGCAAACTCGTTAATGATTGGAATCCCTCCAACAAAACACAAGTTTTCCTGGATCTCATAGTCATTAAAGATGATTGCGTTGACAATCCTCAAAAGACAAGCAATAACATCACGCCGACGACATGTATCTAGGATTTCCAGGATTGGAAGCAATCCGTGGGCACTCATGATGATGTTTTTCGTTTCTGGTAAGTCGCAGAACACCGTCAAGAGTTGGTCGGAGATATCAGCCAGTACCTCTTCATCTTGCGAAGTCTTCAAGGTGCTAACAAGTCCCTCGACCTGATTCCGGAGTCGAGCATGCTTGTCGCGTGCGATATTGGCCTCTAGGTCCATTTCGTCGAACCCTTCTTCAAGTTGGGCAAACGGGTCATCTTCATCGTCCTGATCACCGAGCCAGGATCTATTAGATAGCCTCGAGGTCAGCATTAACGTGCTCTTATCTGAGCTCCCATCACTATCAGGCTTATCCAGTGTCGACTCATTAGGGCCCAGGATATCGGAAAAGTCCTCGTCGTTCTCATTCTCCGCAAATTTTGTTATTTCAATGGCACGATGACGCTTGACTGAGATCCGTTTCTTTAGTTGGGGCTGTGGAGGCTCTTCATCTTCCTCGATAGTTGTAGGCCACTGATAACGGACCATTTCATGCGAAGGGGACGGTGTCAGCATATTGGTTTCACCGTCAGATTCCTGTAAATAATTAGTCTACACTTAGTACATGCATGTGTTTGAATATCAAGGGCTTTTCCTTACCTGGAAAGCACCTAGCTTTTTATCCAAAACGTCTTCGTTTGCCATGATAAGGTCGGAGTAATCCTCAATGGAATTCTCCTTATAGTAAGAAGCCGGTCGAGGCTGTCGCGCTGGCGGCGTGGGATTCGGGTTCAATATTGGGACATCATGTATGCCGGGTTGATAGCGTTGCAGCTTTTGGGCTGTACTTTGCCGTTGAGGCGACGGTCGAATAGTCTCCAAGTCTGTCTCGCTGTTCTGGTTCGAGATTCGCCAAAGATCATCGCCGAATTCTTCGAAACTACCCGAGGATCTCGTCATTGTCCCATCAAGGGAAGCAAATGCCTTGAGCTTCTCAGACGAGAGCAGGCCACCAAAATTATCGTGCGGTCTCAAGTGAGGCAAATGCAGAGCACTGGGGGAGATGGCGTTATCAAAATCGTTATCCCAGTTATCGTCTGCTCCAGAAATAGGTGACCGAAACTTGTCTGCAAGATTTCCCCTGGAGACTGGGGTTGGCAAAACATCCTTGGTTGGGGTATAACGAGAAGGCGTTGAATGCTGGTCAGGTCTCAAATGCTTGCGTATAGTACCTGCGCCGGGCGAGCGAAGAGCCTCATTCCATTCCTGGACGCTCTTGACAGCCTCCTCATTGGGAACTACTGAATCAGACTTGCGAGCATTGACGATCCAGGGGTGTCGAAGAAGCTTCCTCGCAGATACACGAAGGTTGGGGTCTTTTTGGAAGCACTGCATAAGGAAGTCTTTGACAGCTGGGGAAGCTCCTTGTGGCAAAGGAGGATGATCATCATTGACGATGCGAAATAGAGCCGGCATAGGTTGAAGATTGTGGTACGGAGGCTTCCCCTCCAGCAATTCGATGACAGTGCACCCAAGACTCCAGATATCTGACGCCGTACTCGCCCCCGTAAGTTCGATGACTTCGGGTGCCATCCAGTATGGGGTACCGACAACGCTAGCCTCGTTGAGACCGGTTGTGCGACTAGCCACACCAAAGTCCGCCAACTTCACTAGACCTTCTTTGGTGGTGAGGATGTTAGCACCTTTTATATCTCTATGTATCACACCCTGTTCGTGTAGATACAAGAGACCATGGAGGACTTGGGACATGTAAAGTCCGACCAGATTCTCCGGGAAGCGGCCAAAGTTCTTCGCGATGGAGTGTAGGGAGCCATTCTCGCAGTATCTAAACCATTAGCTATATGAAATAAAACAAGAGGAAGAATGCCGTACTCGAGTATGATGTTGAGAGTCTCAACAGACTTCACAAATCCATGGTACTTGACAATGTTGGTGTGCTACAATATATCAGCTTCGGTCCCTGGGTAGGAAAAATAGCATTGCGCCTCACATCCAGGTTCTTCAAGAGATCAATCTCCAGCTGCAAGTCCACATAGTTAGTAGATATACCTTGACTGTCCGGAACTGAATAGCATACCATAATCACTCGCAATTCACTCTTGGGTAGATCCACCAGCTTGATCTGCTTGACCGCGACAGTCTCCCCAGTATTCCAGTTGAGCGCTCTGTACACAGACCCGAACGCCCCTCTGCCCAAGCAGTCACCCAGTTGCTTCACGATATCAGACTATCAGCCTCTCATCCTCTCTCGTCCATACGGGGCGCAATCAAGGGAGGGGTATTCTGTCTCCATACATAATCCTTGAGTTCCGCAACATCCTTAGCCGTCGTCTTCGGTCCCCTGTCATCCCTGGACTTGTCCTCTCGTTTGGTCGGGCTGGAACCGAGTCTCGATAGTCGTGGTTTGGTTGGTGTCCCGGGCGGTGCTGCTGCTGCTACCGCTGCTGCTCTGGAGGAAGGACGTTGTGGTAGTGGTGCCTCGCCCAACTCGCTGGTTCTAGACACCATGGTCGATCGGTCCGTAACGGGATCGCTGTAACAAAGCCGTTTGGTCTCGGGTTGTGCGGGTTTCAGATTCGACGTTGAGGGTAGTAAATAAAGGACGATGCGGCAGGAGCCAGGGGATCGATCGGGGCGTTCATGTCAGCAGAAACTGGTCAAGGGGTGATTTATTATTAGCCATTAATCGCAGGAGAAATAATAATTGCATGCGAGAGCACAATAGAATTGCCCACAGGGATTCTTGGGGGGGGGGGGGGGTGAACGGTTTCGTTCGAGGGACAAAAAGACCATACAGAAAGGATTTCTCTTGCCCGCACGCACAACACACACACGTTGCGACCCATCGAATATTGCCCTGATCCTCCTCCAACGGTTATGATATAAAATAATGATGCGATCAATGGGGCGACCTGGAAGCGAAAGCGCAACCGTACAGACAGTTGCTGCTATTATTGTTTTGGCAGCGACCGAACCAAAGGCGGTTTCTTGAACTTTGCGCTTCTCCACACAAGCCGGTTCGGAGGAGCTTCGCCTGAATCGCGCGGCTTGTATCTCCGATCAGCCTTATCAGAACCGATCTAAGAACTATATCAACGGTTATATTAAGAGGAAGTTGTTTGTATATACTCTATAGTATGTATGTGCTCGCATGGATTGCCGCCGCCAATAGCAGGGTGGTCCTTGTTTGGCTGTGGGCTGTGGGCTGTGGAGTAATCCATAGTCGAGACCGAAGCGCAAAACGAAATAAAGTAGAAAGTCATGGAGTTGTCTATATTTCTCTACTCGTACACACAACATCTAGCGGGGTATTTTTCAAAATCAATGATCCTAGCACGTCCCTCTCCCTGATCCGGCAGATGCCTATGCCTCGCGCAAGAGACGAAGAACGTCCGATGCCAGATAAAGGCTACCAGCAATGACCAATGGCCCACTATTAGCAACGTCGCTGGCCCAATTGATCGCAGCGGGTATGTTCTTGCCAAAGGCCTTGACTTGTTGAATCTCTGGGAATGATTGAACGCACGTAGCCAGCTCTGTAGGGTCGACTGCCTTCACCCACGGCATCCCGTCCACAGGGCCAAACGCTGTAGTTGCGACGTTATCCCCAGGTTTGATGAACGCGCCGAATAATTCCGTCAAATCCTTGCCCCGCGATGCCGCGATAACCCAGGTAACGTTCTTCCGCTGGCGACGGAGTTTGCGCTCCACGTGTTCTCCGAGGACTTGGGCTGATTGAGCATTGTGGGCACCGTCCAGCAAGATAGGTTCTTTGCGGGTGACCAATGGTTCGAGAACAATATCTTGTAGACGTCCGGGCCACTTCACTTCCGATAGGTGGGGAAGCAATGAATCGACATTGAGTCCTGGACGTAGTTTCGGCAAGGCGAGCTGGAGCGCCGAGACCGCGCAGTACATATTCGCACGCTGATGGGGCAAGAGATCCAATTTCTCGAATATACGAGCCAAAGACGGAGCCTGGCTTTCGACCGCATCGGGGTGTACAAAGTCTCCTTTCAGATCCAGCTCCTGTATACGGCTATGGAGCGTCGTGATAACTTCCGGGCAGTTGGTGCCGTCGACCACGCAGGGAGTATGAGGCTTTAGAATTCCGGCTTTTTCGCTAGCAATCTGTTCAATGGAGTTTCCAAGCAGCGCCTGATGGTCCAGTCCGATTTTCGCAATAACGGAAACCAGCACATCGCTCAGAATATTCGTCGAATCCAGTCGCCCACCCATACCAACTTCAACCACACCGACCTCAACCCGCTCATGGTTGAAGATCTCAAAAGCCGTCGCAGTCAAAAGCTCAAATTCGCTCGCTCCAATTCCCAGCGTCTGATCCCGCAGCTTGACCTCTTCCTCAATCTGCCGGAATAGCGACTCCTGCACGACCTTTTCGTCAATTGTGATGCAATCCCACCGGTCAATTAAATGAGGAGAGGTGAAGCGGCCACACCGGACGCCCCCGGAGGCCAGAAGGCGAGACACATAGGCGCTGATTGAGCCTTTGCCGTTAGTCCCGGCGATATGGATGGCCTTCCATGACAGAGGGGTCTGCTGGAGGAGGCGCGATATGCGGCTAAGTCCGAGTTCAATCATTCCTCCAGGTTGTTCGATTTTATTGTTCGAGGGAGTGAATTCTTCATGATCAGAACTAGTCAGATCACTGGAGATTTAAAGATGACATTTCGTTTTTATCAGACGTTGCACTTTGCACTTTTCTTTTCCCGAAATTGATCAATCGGGGGTTTCTGACGTTATCAATTCCGCGGGAAAGATGTCCAATTGATGCCTGGATCCCAAGGTGTCAATAAGAGCAACTAGTTAACTAAGTTAGTTAGTTAGTTAAATAACTACATAGAATCGATTTCTGTACGGAGTACGGAGTAAAGTCTACCTATATACATGCTTCACTGATACTAGCCTGCCAGTCAAAGACTCGTCTTAAATACCACCCTCAGGACGAGCGCGCCGATTCCAATAAGCGCACCAGTTGTCTGTAAACCGACGCTTTCCACCATGCTATAGGGCACTCCCACAGATCTATTTACAATAGCAATAGTCACCGTTTGATAGATGAGATAAGATCCCGAGCTTCCCAGCCATACTAAGACCCAAATATAGCCGACAGCCCTTTTCAATAACGTGAAACTCAAGCTCTGTGGATCCGTAGGACCTGGTAGTTTCCCGCGCAAGCTGTTCTGGAACGCCTCCTCAATGAGGACACCAACTCCCGTGAAGAAAAAAAACACAGGAGCATTAGAGTCCCGGAGCGGGATACCCATGGAAAAGCTACCAAATTGGTGGAGCAGGCTGGACAGCATGAACACAAACATGAACGTCATATACCGTTTGTATCTGGAACGCTGGGGTGACCGGACAATGCTGTGGGCAGCAAAGCTGCATACACTGGTGAACGGCCAACGAAGCAATTGATGCCAGAATTTACTTTAGACACATTAGCTGTTCATGTTCGTTGTCCTCTTTTTGCGTCAGGATGGTTTCAACCTTTAAGGGCAACTTACCCCCAAAATAAACTAAGTGTGTATGTATCCAACATACTCCCAAACATAGATGGCCAGTCATGAGGGGCACTCAGGAAGGTAGCAACACAGAAGACCGATAACGATCTATGAATCAAGTCCAAGGATAAACGAGTCACAAGAAAAGAGCCAACCATCTGCGCCACGGTCTTCATACTCAAAAGGCCATCGGGAACGTCTAAATGCGAAAAATGTCTGCCTTTCGCCCAGCGCTCATGAGAGTCACTGAGTAAAACGTCCAGTACTAGATATTGCCAGGCCATTATGGACAACTGTCGAATAAGAAACCTCGCGCGCCCGGGTTTCCCCGAAAAGAAAAACGAGAATTGAGGTATACTCCTGATCTGCCATGGCGTGTTGATACCTCTGGGATTGAAGGTCATCTCCAGAGCAGACCAAATGCGCCAAAAAATACCGGCATGGTCATGTGGTTGCTTCCGGTGTGCGACAGTGTCGCCATCAAGACCGTTTATCAGAAGTATATTAATGCAGTGGACCGTATGAACAAAAGTGAACAAGTTTATATACAACTTCTGAATGCAGTCCGCGCAGAGTTCATGCGTTTTGAGGTGACATAGGTATGTGCTATATACCAGCCACAGGCTGTAACCGACGCGAAAAGACGAGCCTTTGGGTGTCGTACATATGACAATAGCTGTTTGAAGACACTGAAGAAAATAAAGAACCGGAGCCGGTAGAGGAAGGACCAACATTATAAAGTCGTGCTCGTGAGAGTGTCTGTGTAACACTCGTACCGGGGATATCAATAAAGACTTATAAGGCTGAGAGAAGAAAACATGACGTCGCAGAGCAGGTGGTTGGAATCCCCCCGTTCCTGCTTATTAATGTCGAGTCATTTGTGCCGATTTAACTCAATCTGCTGACTCGTACGTGGTCCGATATATGCGTATCTTCGTAGCTGTACAAAATAATAATATGTGGTGAATAATAATGCCGTCTATCCGTCTCAGAGCCATCACTTATGGTCCCATTAAACAAACAAGTATGAACAAGCGAACCGTTGGATGGTCCTGGCTCCGAGCCACCGTTTACTAATATCTTGGCACCAGCCACAAGTGTAACCTGCCACGGCAACAGCCACCTCCCGGGGCCTCAGGCGCAAATATCTTCGCTGCCTTCGCCTCCGCCTTAATCTCTCCATCCGGCATCTGTCTCTCCAACCTCCCACACATTTCCCCGTCATAGTCCCACTCTTTTCATTTCATTTGAATTTCGCGCCTGTTTCGGTGTCGCGTTGCTTAGAGGATCTGGTTGGCAGCTCTTTCCAGTACTCCGCTCATTAATTTCATCTTAATACACCATGGGTATCCCGTAAGTTCTCGCGTGCGCTGACCGGCGGCCTGGTCGCCGCAACAGCGCTCAGGTAAAGAAGACTCCGGCCACCATGCTTACTGTGTCTTTCCGTGCAGAATGTATCGTGAGCCTTCGGCTACCGAGGCTTCTAAGAAAAATGCGATCAAAGACCCTTCAGCTGCTGCGCGCTCGGCAATTCGTCGTCAGCCCACTATCCGCCGTCCTTCGCGCCATGGAACCTTCCGCGGCGCGTCTCACCGCTTAGATCGCCCTAATCTTGTCAATTCGATGTTTTATGATACTTTATCAGATTGGAATGCTATTGAACGCGCGCGCCCCAGCCGGAGTATAGGCGAAATTCTTGCGCGTGAAGCGAGAGAATTGGAAAGTCTGTCGGCAACGCCACGACAAGACGAGTCGCCGGATTTACTTGCTGGTCCTACAGATGCGAACAGATGGGAAGTCGGTCAGCGCTTGCTTGCGGATGCTGCCCGTCATAGTCAACCCGGCCGGCGATTAAGGATCCCTCGCGATACCATGTTAACTGAGACGGTCAATCGTCCGTCGCCCGGAGATGGCCCAAGAAATCAACAGAGCTCAGAACACCCGCCTTTTACACCGCGCTTTGCTCCTGCGATAGCATATCATAGTGCTGTTGCATCACAGCCCAACGCTCGTCGTTCACCTTTCCCCGGATTGGATATGTCAGGGGATCTGGGGCTGCCAAGAGTCCCGCAATTGCGGAGAGCAATCGAACAGTCAATCAGTGATTTAAATCGGCCATTTAGTGAGCCATCCATCGATGGCCTTGGGGATCGCCAGCGAAGTTTGAGTCCGGATGATGATGATTATGCACATAACGCATGGGAGACACTTCTTACGACCATGACGCCCGATGCCAACCTTCCCAGCAACGAGTCCTCATTCGCATCCACATCAGCTTCTGCCACAAATGCGTCAAGGAGTGGAACTACGGCAACTTCAACCAACTCGACGCAGACACTGCCGTCGAGTCTGGATTCCGCTACCGCGAATGTACACCTTGCTCTCGACCCGTATCCTGAATTTTTGAACCCTTGTGACTATCCGACATCGTCAGACTCCGAATCTGACCCCGAAATTGATCTTGAAGGAAACCGCCAGGCACGGCGCCGACGCGGCTTGCCGCGACCCCGGTTTATGGACTCCCTTCGACAATCACATGATATCAATTCGACTATGAGCAGCCAACCGCCGATTCCTACTATCTCATTTGCTTTCTCTGACCCGTCTACGGATCCTGAATTCCGTCAAATGCAGAGTATCGTAAGCCGGTTCGCTAACGGAGATGTTCCGGACCATATGTGGGTTGCTGCCGGGTTGCCTCTGCCTCCCGGTGTCGGTTCAAGACTCGGCGGGGGGGATGAGGCACGCGACTCTGACAGTGTGGATGGTGCACGCCGTCGGGGTAATATGTGATTCAGCCAATTTCTGTTGATATATTCTTTGGCTTTGGCATGTTGTTCTTTCTTGCTTTTTTGACACCCTTGAATTCCATCGACTGGAAAGGGGTTATATTTTGACTGGATGGTTTACAGCGGGACAGATACACGATACCAGGGGTATGGCGGCGTTATGGTGTGGTCCATTTTGGGGAATTTGCATTTGTGGGCGAAAAGTCGTTGGCTCTGGTATGGGGTGTGGTTTATTTTCTATGAATATTTGCATACAGGCTTTTATACATTGATGGTTCGCTGCGGGATCAGCGCTGCACTGGTTGCATTATTTCGTTTTCACTTCAGGAGACGAAGTCAATACTCTTTTTCTTTTCTTTTCTTTTTCTCTTGTTCACTGCTACTGCAAACCCGGATGGCTGGTATATACTAGAGGACTGCATGTAAATAGGGAGACAAACCCTGTCCGGAACAATGGAAGACATCGACCGTCTCTACTCCGTATAGTTACAAGTACATAGTTATCGGAAGAATCATGTCCGGAACTTACAGTGACGTATGCCGGAGACTGCTGTCCGTCGCAAAACCCCACTCCGACACGCCCCGCTCCATTGCCGTATCGCGATTATTTATTGCTATCGGGGAACCTCTGATTCAATTGTCCCAATTCGCTTCTTGTCGTTGTCTTCTCGTTGTTATTGTGTTACTGCTGTGCTGTTGAGTGACATCGGTTGATTGTCCATCGGAGAATTAGCCTTTTGTTTTGCTTATCTGGGCTGCAGCAAAAGCTTCATTTCTTGCAGGAGATACCCACTAAGGATTTGGTGCATTTTCTTTTCTCTTTTCTCCCCCTCTCACTTCTTTCTCAATTGCTAAGCATCGAATACGGTCTCAACCATGGAGCAACAACTAGACAGACTGCTCGAGAAAACCTGGGGTAAGTTCTGATCCTGGCGCACTTTGATCTCGGTTTATCGGACCAAAGCTAACTGCTTTTTCCCTCATTTAGCAAAACTACGCACCACCCCTGATACCTCCCGGTTAATGATCGCAGTCAGCGGTATCCCAGGCTCAGGCAAAACCGGTCTCGCCAGCATGATGGCCAACCGCATCAACCAGCTGTACTCCGCCGAAAACCCAGGGTCACCACTCATCGCCACAGCCATCCCCATGGACGGGTATCATTTGACACGAGCACAACTGGCGCAGATGCCAGACCCCGCGTTCGCCGCAGCTCGGCGGGGTGCCGCTTTCACGTTTGACGGGGAGAAATTTTTGAGGCTGGTCCAAGCTCTCCGGCAACCGCTGACCGCGGCGAGTCAGAACTTATATGCGCCGAGTTTCGATCATGCTGTGAAGGATCCGGTGGAGAATGATATTGTGATTCCGCCTACGAGCAGGGCGATTTTCTTTGAGGGAAATTATCTCAGTTTGGATAAGGAGCCGTGGAATGAGGCTGCGAAGCTCATGGATGAACTATGGTTCGTGGACGTGGACTTTGAGACGGCGAGGAAGCGCTTGATTCGGAGACATGTGCAGGCGGGTATAGCGAAGGACGAGGCCGATGCTGATAAACGGGCGAGAGAGAATGATCTGGTCAACGGTAAAGAAATTGTGGATTGTCGGATGCGGGTGCAGGAAATCATTGCCAGCCATTATGATCCCAGGTGGGACTCGTGAGGGATCTACCCCGGTGCATTGGAATTGAGTTTCGTCCGAGGCAAGTTCCAGGCCCTCCTTTACCAAGATCTTGTGTACGCTATGTATATATTTAGTTGCAGGGCAATACGACTATGTATTTTCTACTTGTAGAAGATAAGTCTAATTTAGCTACGGCTAATAATAGAAGACAATACGGAGGTCGGAGAATATCGCCACACATGAAAAACACTACTGTGTAACAGGGGTAGTACTCTTGAGACTGGGCTGTTTCTCTTACTCTGCATTGTACTCCAATGTCCCAGCCCTTCATATCCTACCTGTATGTTATAAGATGTTGCACCGGTAATTTGTACCGAAAAGCACGTGTTATTGCAGGAAATTGGATGCCCGGCAACGGAGAAACCTCTGCTCCGACAATCTCCGGAATCTCCACCAATCGAGTCCCTGGGCCCAACTATTCCCTTTTAGGACTAGCGGTACCGAACACCCTGCGTATTGTAACACAGGATCAGCAGGGTTTTTACCTGATTTGGTGAGACAGCCCTCCACCTGATTTCACCTGCAAATCCCACTGATATTTCCTACTGATCGTTTGCCTTATCAACTGGTCCCTACCACTGTCTCCTTCGTTGGCCGACTCATTCTTTCGTTTACCCTCCAACCCACCACGCTCCTTATACTCGGTATTATTGTATAGTCACTCTTTTATACTTCTGTCTTTCGTTCTTTTTGTTACCCCTAATCGATTCCTCGAGATTCGCGATTGCGCCCCTTAAAGCAAACAACAAACTCGATCATTAACCCGACGTCCAACCGACGTCATGCTCTTCACCAAGTCCGCCGTTGTCTTCTCCGTCCTTGCGCTCTGCAATGTGGTGGTTGCCGCTCAGCCGCCTGCTTGTTTGCTTTCCGTCGTGGGGTATGTGTGGTTGCGACATTCCATTGGATACCGGAGGGTTCGGAAAGATCTTGGACTAACATTCTTATTGGTATATAGCGACGAGCCGAACCCCGCGGACTTGAAGACCATTTGCGTCAAGAATGGAGATAAGATGCAAAAATTGATTTCGAAGAAGTGCGACGATGATGACAAGAAGGATGCTTTGTCGCACTTTTCCGATACCTGCTCTTCCAACGGATACAAAGTCGGTATGTTATTGGATTGAATAGCATCATTGACGGAGTTCGGGGCTTGAAATTTCTAACACTGCATAGATGTCAGCACCTCAACTACCATGTCCGGTTCCACTACCACCGGTTCTCAATCGACCAAAACTGGCTTCACCACCGCTACCGCAACCTCTGGCTCTAGCTCGAGCTTCTCGAGCGCCTCTAGCTCCTCCGACTCGGCTTCCAGCTCCGCGTCCGCTGACACCACGGTCTCTGCGGGTGCGTCTGACAGACACGTTTCTGCGGCGGCTTTCGCGGCCGTTGTCTTTGTTGGTTTCGCGGCTACCATGTGAGGGTTTTTGATCGATTGCTGTATGGAGTAACACTGTTTGTTTGATTTTTTTCGGCTTCAGCCTCGGGATTTATATCTTGAAATATACCCAAGCTGCTTTTTGTTCGTCTCCTCTTCGCTTCGTTTATATAGTAGTGTCAACCGTTATAGTGCAGATCAGAAGGCCCACATAAAGTTTTCGCGGCAGAATGTTGGTGACGCGCAGGTTGTAGATAGTCAAAGTATGAAACTTGCGCTTGTTCTACCCGGGCCTTGCTGGTAATTTGTACTCTTCTGGGTCTTTTGGACTACGCAAGCCTTCTTTGTTCATTGCAACTCATTACCTGCTCTGGAATATCTGATCCGCCTGGAAATCCACCATAAGCTGATGTCCCATCCGAGGACCGGCCGGTCACGTGAGCACGCAGCGCGCGTTGCCACCAACCAGACATTCGGCTCAGACACGAAAGGTCGCGTCAGCCCACGCGTTGGCCCCAGCATCAAAAGAGCCCCTCCGACTTTCTTTTTTCTTCTTCTTCTTATATCTTCCTCTTCATCTTCCCTCCTTTCTTCAGTTTTCTCACGATTGCTTGTGTTCATCTATAATAATACCTCGAAAATCATACAATAATAATTCTTCATTATACCCTTTTCTTCATATAGTTTTGTTCCCTCACCGACGTTTCTTCCGAGCCCATCTCGTCGCTTTTCATAATGTTTGTCTACAAGAGAGGTAAGAATAGCGTCTTTTCAGTTATTCTAGATTTGAATTTGAAGATAAGATCGCGATCTTGAGAATCTTCGTGACACATGCCACCTCTGTCGAATTTTGGGCTAATACAACCGAATTTTTAGACGGACGCAAAGAACGCGTACAATTCGATAAGATCACTGCTCGTGTCTCGAGACTTTGTTACGGCCTTGACCCTGAGCATGTCGATGCTGCTGCTATCACACAGAAGGTCATCTCTGGTGTCTACCAGGGTGTTGGCACCGTTGAGCTGGACAACTTGGTATGTATCCCTTGCGGGGAAGGGAGTCGAGTCTAGAGAGGGGTCGAATGCTAAGACTTCACTATTACAATAGGCTGCCGAGACTGCGGCATACATGACCGTGACACATCCTGACTACGCCATCCTTGCTGCCCGTATCGCCGTTTCGAACCTCCACAAGCAGACCAAGAAGCAGTTCTCTCTGGTCATTCAAGATCTCTATCACTATGTGAACCCAAGGAACAATGTTGCAGCACCGATGATATCGAAAGAGACGTACGAGATTGTTATGAAACATGCGGATGAGCTTAACTCTGCTATCGTGTACGACCGTGACTTCAACTACAACTTCTTCGGTTTCAAAACCCTTGAGCGGTCGTACCTGCTGCGGATTGATGGAAAGGTTGCTGAGCGTCCCCAGCACCTGCTGATGCGGGTTTCTGTTGGAATCCACGGCAATGACATTGAGAAGGCGATTGAGACCTACCACTTGATGTCCCAGAAATACTTCACTCATGCCTCCCCCACCCTGTTCAACGCTGGTACCCCGCAGCCCCAGCTGGCCTCGTGCTTCCTTGTCGACATGAAGGCAGACAGCATCGAGGGTATCTATGACACCCTGAAGACCTGTGCTATGATCTCCAAGACCGCTGGTGGTATTGGTCTCAATGTCCACCGCATCCGTTCGACGGGCTCCTACATCGGCGGGACCAACGGTACTTCCAACGGTCTCATCCCTATGCTCCGCGTTTACAACAACACTGCTAGATACGTCGACCAGGGAGGCAACAAGCGTCCCGGTGCTTTCGCTATTTACCTTGAGCCCTGGCACTCGGACGTCTTCGAGTTCTTGGACCTTCGCAAGAACCACGGTAAGGAGGAGGTCAGAGCCCGTGACCTGTTCTACGCTCTGTGGACTCCCGACCTGTTCATGAAGCGTGTTGAGTCTAACGGCGACTGGACTCTCTTCTGCCCTAACGAGGCTTCTGGCTTGGCCGACTTGTACGGTGATGAGTTTGAGGCTCTCTACGAGAAGTAAGTCTCCTGACATAGTATAAATGAAGACACTTGCTAATGTTGATATAGGTATGAAAAGGAAGGCCGTGGCCGCCGGACCGTCAAGGCTCAGAAGCTTTGGTACGCCATTCTTGAGGCCCAGACCGAGACTGGCAACCCATTCATGTTGTACAAGGATGCCTGCAACCGGAAGAGCAACCAGAAGAACCTGGGAACCATCCGCAGCTCCAACCTCTGCACTGAGATCGTTGAGTACAGTGCTCCCGATGAGGTTGCTGTTTGCAACTTGGCTTCGCTTGCCCTTCCTACTTTCGTCGACGCTGCTCGTGGCGAATACGACTTCGGCAAGCTTCACGAAGTCGTGCAGGTTCTGGTTCGCAACCTGAACCGGATCATCGACATCAACTACTACCCCGTTCCCGAGGCCAAGAAGAGCAACATGCGCCACCGCCCTATTGCTCTCGGTGTCAACGGTCTTGCTGACGCTTTCCTTGCTCTGCGTCTGCCTTTCGACTCGGCCGAGGGCAAGCAGCTGAACATTCAAATCTTCGAGACCATTTACCATGGTGCTTTGACCGCCTCTTCCGACTTAGCTAAGGTGCACGGTGCCTATGAGACCTACGAGGGCTCTCCCGTCTCCCAGGGTATCCTCCAATACGACATGTGGGACCGCACCCCCACCGATCTCTGGGACTGGGACACGCTGAAGGGCAAGATCGCCCAGACTGGTGTTCGCAACAGTTTGCTGGTGGCCCCTATGCCCACTGCCAGTACCAGTCAGATTTTGGGCTTCAACGAGTGCTTCGAGCCGTACACCTCGAACATCTACTCCCGTCGTGTGCTGGCTGGTGAGTTCCAGGTTGTCAACCCCTGGTTGCTCAAGGACCTGGTCGACCTTGGTCTCTGGTCGGACAACATGAAGAACCGTATCATCGCCGATGGTGGTTCCGTCCAGAACATCCCCAACATCCCGGCCGACATCAAGGCCCTGTACAAGACCGTGTGGGAAATTTCCCAGCGGTCGATCCTGCAGATGGCTGCCGACCGTGGTGCCTACATCGACCAGTCCCAGTCTCTCAATATCCACATGAAGGAGCCCACCATGGGTAAGATCACCAGTATGCACTTTGCTGGCTGGAAGATGGGATTGAAGACCGGCATGTACTACCTGCGTACGATGGCCGCGTCCGCTCCGATTCAGTTCACCGTCGACCAGGAGCAGCTCCAGGTTGCTGATACCAACGTTGCTCGTGAAACCAGTGCATATAAGAAGCGCGTTGGTGGCGGGACATCCAGTGCTTCCTCGGCCGTTCCTCGCGAGGAGAACGGACACGCTGAGCAAGAAGCTCCTCGCGCGACTGCTGAGGCCCCGGCCGCCCCCAACGGCGGTGAGGCAGAGCAGGGCGAGCAAGAGAACGGCGAGCAAGAGAGCGGGGACATTTTCTCGCAGCAGGTGCTCCAGTGCAGCATTGAGAACAAGGATGCGTGCATAATGTGCCAGGGTTAGATGTCTTTTTCTTGTGTCAGATTTGATTTTGGTTTTATAGGCGCTTAAGGCGTCATGTTATATCGGACTGGATGTCATATGTTTGTTGATGCGTTATTCTAATGGGTTTATGTTTATGATTTTACTTGGTTATGCCTGATGGTTATGTCTATCCATTAAAAATGCACTGTTCATACGAGACTCGGGGATACTCTGGTAAATAGTAAGCAGTTTGACGTATCCAGCGCAATGGTCCGTGAGCCAGATCGACCCGTCGATGCTCATTTCTTTTCCGCAGTTGGTAACTGACTCGGGGAATAAGCAGATGGCTGCCTGCATACTAGTATGTGCTTGTAGTCTGGACACGTCAGTCATGTACTTTGTAATATTCCAGTGCATGAATTGACGGGTAGAATAAGTACCTACTTACCCGGGGTACAGAGTAAAAAGAGTTGAAAATTGAGCACACAAAACTCTTAACAGCCTCCTATCCGCCCGCCAATCGCAATACAATCCATGCTCATCCGAGTATTCCATCCGAGCCGTTTCTCTTCCCCTGAGTTTGTACCAAGAAAAGAAAGACTGGCAGTAGAACAAGCTCAACACCGGCCCAAAAGTGAGACACCGGCGCCGATCCGGTGGCCAATCAGGAGGTGTCCGGTTCTGTACGGAGTATCTGCATGCTTTCTACTTGTACATAGTATGCACTTGTCAAAGGATTCAGATGTTTGCATTGCATTTCGTATCGGTTTCTTGGTTTGATGTGTCATCTAGGGTGTGTACATGTACTTGCAAAGTCCTCTTTACAGGCACTTTGCGGATAAGTACCCCTGTACAGGTACAAAGAAGTTTATCACCGAGACCCGGTTCAGTGTTAGTGGTCAATGGTCGTGGCTGAGGTGGACCCGGAGGTTCCGGTCCATGGATTACTGTACTAGTATAACTAACCCTATCTGGAAAAGGGCACTAGGTTTACCGGGAAGGACAGTCTATGGGGATGTGCGTTTAAATATCCGCTCTTTCATCTCACTTTTTCTCTTCTTCTTCTTCTTCTTCTCTCTATCAAGCAGTCCTTCTTTGACATCCGTCGTTTCTTTCCTTTGCATCTTCGTTGAGTTTACACTGCTGTGCAGTAACTCTGTCCTTCATTTGAATCTCGATCTCTACAGTACATTCAAGTACATCTCAGTCTTTCCAATCTACCGAGTATACTCCGGAATATACCATACCACAACACAACAAAACAACAAACAAAATGGCCCCCATCTTCAAGTCCCTCTTCCTCCTCGGCACCCTCGCCGCCACCACCCTCGCCGCCCCCCTCCAAACAACCACCAACCAAAAGCGCGCCGCCAGCTCCTGCACCAAGGACGCCCCCTGCAACGGTCAAGTCACCTTCTACGACACCGCAACCTCCTCCTCCGCCCCGAGTAGCTGCGGCTTCACCAATGACGGCGAGTCCGAGTCCGTCATCGCGCTTCCGCACGGTATCATGACGGACGCGGACTGCGGGAAGGTCGCGACTGTCAAGTACGGTAGCACTATCAAGACGGGCAAGGTGGTTGACAAGTGTATGGGATGCGATGACACTTCGATTGATCTGTCGCGGCACTTCTTTACGGAGTTGGCGGCGTTGCTAGAAGGGAGACTTTTTGGGGTTGAGTGGTACATGGAGTAAGCGTTGATCGCTTTGGCTTTGGGTTATATTGGGTTTTTTTTTTTTTTGGATTGTCATTCTTTTGATCCTTAAGGGTTATCTTCGTGTCTATACCATTCTTTCGCTAAATGTTTATATTGCTGCTCATCACAAACCGAATACTCCGTAGTTATGTCGAGGATATGCCCGGACACTGCCACACACGAGTCGTACTCCATACTAGTATGCCTCGTAGCTAGCGGAATAATGCAAGTCACCACCAAAGTAGCAATGATACACGTGAGCTGCAGGTCTTCAATAGTGCTGGGTAATGTCTCCAAAATAGCCTCACTAAGAAGTAGACTGATTTTTAAGATCATGTGACCCCCCGCCGGACAGCGTCCGTCCACCGCCAGAAATCTCCAACCAACGAAATCCTCTTAATTTGAGCGTTTCTGGGGATCTCCAATAAATCCTGTACCACGATTTACCGCTTCAGCTCGCGCTTTTCAGAGCTTTCGCTAAGCTTTCCTTTGTTTTTTTGTCGCTTGCTGTCGGTGCATATATAAGAGTCCCTGAAGTCTCCGGATTCCCGCACGCGACTCCGCTGTCCTTACCTGTCAGCGGCTCTGATCTCCGTTATTTTGGTGTCGACTTTACGGAGCTACACCTTCAGATAACCAGATTATTCTTGATCTTTGATCACATTTACTCCGTTCAGGGTTTATATCTCAGATCCGGAGTGCGAACCCCTACACGATGGGGTCTTTTCGCACTCGAACAATGCAATTGATCCCCCGGAACCTCTCTTAGACATTCGCTTTGTTCTTTTATTCTGTTCTATTTGACCATTCATAGCGACAGCGCGACGGCGAAATGGACGACCGCAGGCCTGAGGTGCTGGTCGTGTCGATTATCTTCTTTGTCATCGCGACCGTTTTTGTGGTGTTTCGCTTCATATCGAGGATTTTTGTCGTGCGCAAGGTTGGGATTCATGATTATTTTATGTTACTGGCTTGGGTATGTGCTCTATTACAGAGATTCATTGAATATGGTATTAATGTTGCAGTTTATCGATTTCGGCTTCTCCTTTTCGCTGTTTTATGCGACGCACAAAGGCCTCGGGTTGCATGACTATGATCTCAATCCCCACGATCGAGCCAGTCTTAATCAGGCCAATTATGTCTTTACCGTTCTTTACGTGAGTACTCTAATCAAAGGAAGGCAAATGAAGAAACTAAGAAGTAGAACCCCGCCCTGATGGCCGTCAAAACATCTATCCTCGTCTTCTACCTGACCCTGACCAAAGGCGAACTGGTCTACCGCTGGGCAAACTACGTGACTCTCTTCGTCGTCAACGCTGCCGGATTGGCCCTGACCCTCGTCAACGTCTTTCAATGCCATCCCGTTGGCGCTGCTGTGTCGTACCCGTTACCGCCGAATGCGCAATGCACCGACATCGTCACACTGTATCTCTGCTCGTCGCCTGTGAATATCATTACCGATCTGGCAATTCTGTTGCTCCCCATGCCTATCTTGACAAAGATGCGCTTACCGCGGAAGCAGAAGATTATTCTGGTCGTCACGTTTAGTTTTGGTTTCTTTGTCGCGGTTGTGGATGTTATTCGCATTGCGTATTTGCAGAATGCGGCGACGTCGCGGCAGATTGCGCTGCAGGAATTGCATCTTCAGGATTCGAATAATGGTGATGATCTGAGCTGTACGTCCTTCCCCTTCGTCTCCTTGGATAGTTGCTAAGTGCGCAGGGTACGCGTCACTGTCCTTTATGTGGTCTGTCATCGAAGTCAACGTGTCGATTATGTGCGCTTGCGTCCCGAGTCTGAAACCGCTGGTTGCGCGTATTATTCCCAAGCTCATCAGGGATACCGATGAAGGATCGTGCAACACCGCCGATGGCCGATTCCCTGGTTCTTTCGATTTGCCTAATGGCATGCCCCCGATGGCACAAGGAGCAATCAACACATCGCAGGAGAGCAACGGCAACAAAACCTCGCAATCGGCAAGTCAAAGCAGCGAAATCGATCCTCAGAGAAACACAAGCGCCTCCCCGATCGACATGGTGGAATTCTTGACTACACCCAATATAGCGGCCCCTCAAGACGCGGAAGCCAATACAACCCTAACGAGCACATCTTATATGGGCAGCATTACGTTTTTCGACTTTGTCAACATGAAGAAACCAACGAGTATGCTCAAGCTGAATAACAAGGAATCCATAGCCCCGATTGCGCTTACTACGATTCTATTCTTCCTATGGGGATTCGCATACGGCCTGCTGGATACATTGAACATGCAATTTCAAGAAATCGTCCAGCTCGACGCATGGCGCTCACTTGCGCTGTACGCCGTCTACTTTGGCGGATACCTAATCGGCCCACTATTCATCGGTGGAACGGTCCTCAAACGCTGGGGCTTCAAATCAACCTTCATCACCGGCCTGTGCATCTACGCCTGCGGAACACTCATCTTCTGGCCCTCAGCCGTTCTATCCTCCTACGCCGCCTTCGCCATCTCCAACTTCATTGTAGGCGTCGGCCTCGCGGTCCTCGAAACCGCCGCAAACCCCTTCATCGCGCTCTGCGGACCGCTCGAAAACTCCGAAGTCCGCCTCAACATCTCCCAAGGCGTGCAAGCAATCGGCAGCGTAATCTCCCCGCTGCTCGCCAAAAAAGTCCTCTTCAAAAGCGTCACCGACGTTTCTTCCTTAGTCGACGTCCAATGGACATACCTCGGCATTGCCCTCTTCGACGTCCTCCTCGCAGTAGCCTTCTACTACCTCCCCGTCCCCGAAGCCTCGGACGAAGAGCTAGAAGAACTAGCCAACCACCGCCGCGAAGACAATATGACCAAACTCTTCGGCGTCCCTGTCGTCTGGCTTACACTGGGCCTAGGTATATTCTCCATGTTCTTCTACGTCGCCGCCCAGGAAGTCCTCTCCAAGAGCTTCGAAGCATACGTCAGACACTCAAACTCCCCACTATCCGCATTCGACTCATTAACCCTTGGCCGCGCCCTCTTCGCAATAGGTCGCTTCCTCGCAGCCCTCCTCCAACTCTTCCTCAAACCCCGCTGGATCCTCCTCCTCTCCTACCTAGGCATGATCATCTTCTCCATCCTAGCGATGGAAATACAACACAACGGCCCAGCCTCCCTGGCCATGGGCCTACTAATCTACCTCTTCGAATCCGGTGCCTTCAGCATAATCTTCTCCATCGCCCTCCGCGGCACAGCACGACATACCAAATCCGCCGCCGTCGCGTTAACAGTCGCCATCTGCGCAGGCGGGATATTCACCTTCGCCCAACACGCTGCTCGTCTCTCCTCATATGAAAATGATGCAAATGGCGGATTCGACTCGTACGGTATATTAGTGGCGCTGTATGCCATCGGCGCGGTCTTCCCGGTATATCTCAACATCTTCGGGGCAGTCAAGAAGCAAGTCGATCCTGTTCCTGGGGAGTATCTGCGACGCCCGAGAAGACGGAGTAGGGCGCTGCCGCCGACGCCGGAGTTGGGGCCTATGTCGGGGGTGGAGGGGGTGCCGGCGGAGGTGCCGGTTGATGGGACTAGGTAGTCTTTTTTTTTTTTTTTTTTTTTTTTTTTTTGACTTTGGCTATGGTTATGCTACCAAGTTATGGAGTGGATGGGTTGAGTATGATGACTTAATTTGATATGACGAACGATACGATATGATGATATGACAGTATATAGTGGTTTGGTTTACTTTCTGATATCCCGGTGGTTGTGATGCATATACCCTTCTTTGTTGGTTTTGTTAGTTATAGCATATATATTCGCATAATACATGTACATAGCTCAGTTTTTTGAACTCTGGTTTTGATTTGATACTGATAATAAATGTTCTTGAAGTATGTAACCCAAAGTACACATTCCAATTAATGAGATAAGTTACACTCATACAAGTCCATTTACAATTAATGTCACCTCCAAGACTCATTATCTTGGCCGTTGGTTGTTACTCTGGAGAGTGGGGTAAAAAGCGTACATCTTGCTAGCTGAAACGCAGGCATTACAATATGCGAAAGGGTAGAGAATTTAATACTTTTATCATGATTCATTATCCATGATCAACCTATACATAACCAAACCAAACCAGTGCTAATCCGACGCCTCTATGTACAGCCCGCTGAATAAAAACACAATGCATAAACTCATATAAAAATCAAATGGTATCATAAGTGGTATCAGTTTACCACCAGTCACCCTGGTCGTGCATGGCAGCAGCGACCTTGCTGAAACCAGCAATGTTGGAACCGGCGACGAGCGAAGGCAGGTTGCCCTCGGCGGGAGTGCAGTACTCCTTGGCGGTCTCAAGACCGTTCTGGAAGCACGCGGCCATGATGTCCTTGAGACGGGCGTCGACCTCCTCGCTGGTCCAGCTGAGGCGGGCGGAGTTCTGGGCCATCTCGAGACCAGAGACGGCGACACCACCGGCGTTGGCGGCCTTACCGGGGGCGTACCAGATGGCCTGGGCGCCCTTGTTGGCGTTACGGTGAGCCTCGAAAACGTCGATGGCCTCCTGGGTGCAACCCATGTTGGAACCCTCGGCGATGAACTTGGTGCCGACAGCGATGAGGGCCTGAGCCTCCTCGCCGGAGACTTCGTTCTGGGTAGCGGAGGGGAGGGCAACGTCGACCTTTCCGACGTGGGTCCAGGGGCGGGCACCGGGGATGTACTTGAACTTCTTGGAGAACTTGTCGCTGGTGGCGATGGAAGAGAGCTGCTTGCGCTCGACCTTGAGGTCGGCAATGAGGTTGATCTCCTCGGGAGTGAAGGTACCCTCCTGCTCGGTGAGGACGAGCGAACCCTGGGAGTCGGAAAGCGAAGCCACGGAACCGCCAAGCTCGATGATCTTGAGAGCGGCGTACTGAGCAACGTTACCGGATCCGGAGAGGGCAACACGCTTGTCGGCGAAGGACTCCTTGCCGTTCGAGACGTATTTAATCATGTGCTCAACGTACTGAAAAATTCCCGATTAGTCTCTGTTGCCACACAAAATTGCTTGGCAGATGAAAAAACTTACGTAAACGACACCGTAACCAGTGGCCTCGGGGCGGATCAGAGAACCACCCCAGCTGCCGCCCTTGCCGGTGAGGACACCTTCCCACTGGTTGCGAATCTTCCGGTATTGTCCGAACAGGAAACCAACCTCACGGCCGGTAACACCAATGTCACCAGCGGGAACGTCAGTGTCGGCGCCAATGTGCTTGGAAAGTTCGGTCATGAAGGCAACACAGAAGCGGCGGATTTCGTTGTCGGACTTGTTCTTGGGATCAAAGTCGGAACCACCCTTACCACCACCCATGCTCAGACCGGTGAGAGCATTCTTGAAAATCTGCTCGAAACCCAGGAACTTGAGGATGGAGAGGTTGACGGTAGGGTGGAAACGGAGACCACCCTTGTAGGGGCCGAGAGCCGAGTTGAATTGCACACGGTAGCCACGGTTGATCTGGGGCTGGTGGTTGTCATCCTCCCACACGACACGGAACTGGATGATACGCTCGGGGATGGAGACAATGGCGAGAGCCTTGCGGTAATCGGGGTTCTTTTCGAAGAGAGAGGAGTTCTCAAGGGTCGAGACAAGCTCTGTCGATAGGAGTCAGTAACTCAGTAACTCTAATGCTGTAGTAGTCTTATTATAGATAATAAGTGCATACCGTTGTAGGCCTGTTCGAACTCGGGCTCGTGAGGAAGGTTAGACATGGCGGTGTTATCTGGTATCTAGGGGGAGAGAGATAGAAAATGGATAGATAGATAGGATGAATGAAAGAGAGATCAAGAGGAGAGAGACGGGGTTTATATTTGCCTCTCTCCCCGCCTTCATCCGCGGAGGGAGCACTACCAATTCCTCCCCCGGCGTCGGAACCCCCCGCCGACGGAAAGCCGCTGATAAAAAGTCCCGGCAGTTTCTCTCGTTCAATTCCATCGTGCAATCCTTACTACGCCCGGCCAATCAGCGGTCAGGGATTGTAGAGCGCCGCGGGCGGTGAGAGATCCCGGGACAGGTCCGAAATTCGGGGCGGGGCTTGGAGTTATCAGAATGATTCTGGTCACAGTTTGCTTTATCTCTACAGCGGATATCGCCCCGAGAATCCCCGCCCTGTCTACGAGTATTTCTCGGAAGGGGTGGCGTTTTCGTCTCGGTGAGAGTACGTGTTATGCCAATGCTACTCTGCACTCTGCACTATTACTTGGCACTCTGATACTACCTCTACTGTACTCTGTACTCCGTAGTAATAAAATATCCTGTGTTATTCAATTCAATATGTAAAGCTGATATATGCAACACGTGAGCACTGTCCCCAATTAGGTCAACAGACCCGCTGTTCCTGGGGCCCCACGTGCTTGATCATGCTTATCTGGTACTTGTCTCGGACGAGTGCCTACGGAATACATGGTCGTCTACAAATACATTAGTCTACAGAGTACATGGCATGATAAGTCAACGAGTAGGATATCTGTATCCTCTACTCCATACTAAACACCATTAGCAATCCGAATATCACAAAAGCAATATTATCACGGCCAAATGGACATTAATCCAGATATTACCAACCACTACCGTTGATCACTGATAAGGACGAAGATCAAAGGAGGGGTAGAGCGGGGATCATGCCATTCTACTTATCATTGCTGTTTCTGGAATCCGGAGTACGAGTGCTGTTCCTGCCCGGATCCTGTATCAGATGATGCCGACACCCCACGGTTGGAGCACGGACATAGTAGAATCGGAGACTGGAGAGATTCGGAGAGACACCAAGAGAGACTCGGGTTGAAGAACTACTCTGTGACGAGAACGGGGTGCCAAGCTCAATGATAATGGTAGAGTATGATGTTAAGTATTCGTACTCACGTCGATCATAGTTTATTTGAACAGTCTTTGCACTTACAACAGGATTGTGCAATGACTTCATCCAACCAGCATCGCCCATGTCTCCGCGTGTCCTTTGTCCAGCAGGGTACGGATACTTACAGGAACTCAGTTAAGAACCGGTCCTGCAGCATATGAACTCGACATGTCCGTTCTAGAAAGCTATTGCCAAGCTCCTGCTAATGCATTTCGTTCCCGGTACTCGGGTGTTGTGTCATAGATCCTGGGGATTGCGTACTGTCGGGTGTATGGGGTATATTCGAGTTGCATGGCTAGCATGGCTGGGCTGGTTCTACTGCTGCATACACAAGGCCGGCTATCTAGTTAGATAGCAATTGGATATGTATTCTGTGAAAGATAGTCTTCATGTTAGCAGGATAAACCAAGGGGCAAAAGAGTACAATATACAACCCAAGTCAAAATAATACACCACGTGAACCCGGCCCGGCTCCGTCAGGAATGCCTTCCCTAACAGGCATACCTGAAGCTATACAAGTACCTCCCGCAATGACTACTCTGTAGACCGTGCGAGACCCGGCCAGACCGTCTCGTTGTGGACTCCGGTTCACCATTTTCGTTTCCAATTGGCCTACACCGTCAATTGCCAGAGAATGCTACCATTCTCGCCAAATCTTAAACTAACCACACTCTACTCCGTACTATGAGTACAAGTACTCCGTAGTCCGTACAAGTATTCTACGGAACAAATAGGAAACCCTCCACCCGAAATAAACCGACCATCCTCAGCTCTGCAGTTCAAATCCCGGTGGCAACAATTCCAATTCCCACATTCTCCCAGAAAATATGCAATGCTCCATACCAGCGTAAGCCAATTCAAAACCAGCCCGCAGTGGCGAGTGATTACCCTCGAATAACTCAGTAGGGTAAGTCCTCCGTGGCGCAAACGAGGCTAGTGGAAATGGTGGCTTGTTGATTACGAGCCACTGTGGCGGTATGTGGCTGAGTGCAGATCGCACGATGCTAGGCTCTAGAATTTCAAATAGGGTTTCGTACTCCGTAGACCGTGGTACAAGAATACTAGCAGTACTAGTAATCGTACTCTTGTCTGTACAGAGTAGTAAAAAGGTCATGTGCGGATGCCATGCAAACTCAAAGACGGTGAAGACTGAATTCCAGGAATTCCCTAGGTCCAGCATATGCATATGCAGTAAAGAGCCAATAAGACCACCGCATCATATAATAGTACAGTAGTGAAGTAGATATATGCGCCGTGGGCTGCGCGCTGTAAGCTCTGCCACCGTCGTTGCAGACAATACGAGGTTAGCGCCTTGGTTAGATGCGTTCTGGGCCAATCATTCGCGGCGGGATTAGAGACGTTTCGGGTGGAAATGCATGTGACCTGCATTTGGCGTTGACGTCGAGGATTGTACAGATATTGCGTTGCTTTTATTTATATGGAGTACGGAGGTGACTGAATATTATGCTCACCGCATCCTGAAGTATTGTTCTATTTTGATTATACCGCTATGGGTGACTGGCTGTCGTTCGCAGTTATGGTGGTGCAAGTAGTATAGCAGGCGTGGTGCATATGGAGCACCAACACACAACACACATAGTGACATGTGGCGATTCCACTCAGTCCCAAATATCCAACAAGTCGAAATTGTCGAATTCTATGCCTATGGATACTCTGTATTCGGAGTACACTTGACAGTTGAGCAACAATGTCCACTCGTATGCAATCTGAACAAAGATGCCCTATAATATTCTCTGCTATAGCCGCCGTCGAGTCAGATCTAAAGATGGCGATTCCTGATTCGACACCGGAAATTACCTTCTTTTTTCCTCTTTGTACTGTGGACTGTTAGACGGTGGACTCGGTGTCTTCTACGGCGTACTCGGGCTTTGAGAGAGGGGTATGATTGTGCTACGTTTGTCTAACCAATACAGGAATCAATGGTGCATATGAAAGACGACTCAATTGCCGTGCAGGGTTTTCGTTTTTGATGACACCGCCTGTCTGTATCAAGTGAGAATACAGTAAGCAAGCCAGGTGTGAATACCGTCTTTTACTTAGAAGAGCATAAAAAGATCTAGCGGGGGTCCGATCGGATGAGATGATCGGAAATCATAGTGAAGGTGTAATATTAAAAGAGCACAAACACACACAGAAAAAGAGTGGAAAAGGCAAAAAAGGGTAAAAGTGGTAAAAGACCCGAATGGAGAACGTCCTCCGTGGGAGAAATGGGCTGGATCGGCCAATCAGGGCGGTGATTCTGACGCGACTCATCTCAGTCGAAACAATACGGTATCAGAGGATGTATAGAGAAATATACAGAGCGTCTACAGAATAATCGTAAGAGTACTACTAGATTAGATGCATTTGTGAATACACAATAACTTGCATACTCATGGTTTGTACTCTATACTAAACTATCACGGATCTTAGACCGGGTAGACCCGTTCCTGCGCGAGTCTAGTCGAATATACAAGTCCACTTCTTTCTTTCTTTTCTTTGAATCCACCAGGCGCGTGCGTTTCCCTGTCTCGTCTCATCTCTCGTCATCTCCCCTACTTTCCTTTTTTCCCTTTTCTCTTTTTCTCTCTTCTCCCTTCTTCTCTTCTCTACTTATTGTCATGGTATAACTCAATTGCATAAATCCGATGGGCTTTTGTTATACTCCTATACCTCCGTACCTGTCATGATCTCGGTTCCCTGTACCATCGCTAGATGACCGCCTTAAACAGATGTCCGTGAACGATCCCAATCCTGGCAGGAGTCTAGGTGTTTCTATAAAGAATCTCTTTCGTCCCTCGTCTCCTACGTCCTCTCCGTCGCCGCGACGCAAGGTTTCCCTTTTCCGTCGGCGTCGAAGCGTCTTTTCGCAAAAGTAATCCCTACTGTTACGAATGAAGAATAAACCGCAGAGATACTAAGAGGTGCCTCGACCAGAACTCCTGATCCTACTCCTGATCCTGAACCTATCAATCGCCCCTCGTCCAGGACCCCTATGGAACCCAACAACACTCAATTTGACCCAACCACGATGTTTGGGATCGCAGAAGTTTCGCAAGGCAGCTCAGGGGACAGTTTCGACCTTTGCGACTGGTTTCCGCGGTATCAGAATTGCCAGCGGTATTTCCTGGATCATGCCCAACACAGTGGCCCCGTCCAGGGTCTCTCTGCGTTCCTGAACATTCGACTCCCTTTCCAACGCCAACCCAATCCCATCTTCAATTCCGCCTCGTCGATTCCTACTCCTCCTGGACAGGCAACACCTTCCTCGTCGTCTTCGCCTCTACCACCGTCCGTCTCCCTCATTCCCTACATCAGACGTCTTGTGGCTACGGGTATGGATTTCCCGGGAGTCCTTCAGGGGTTCTTTGGCGACGACTGGGGGTCAGGAATTGGATCGCTACACGAGCAGGAGCGTCGCAATTATCTATTCGCAGCCAAGAGTGGTGGGTGGGCTGCGGTAAAGAAAGATTACGACATGCCACCGCAAGAGACCATTCCTTTCCTTCGACCGCTCCAGGGGCCGTTGGATCCTGAGATTGAGGCAGCCGAAAGAAGCTGGAGTGAATGGTTGGCTATGGAGGATTGGATGATTGGGCCGCGAGCGCCCGATCTGGACTCGTCTTCTCAGGCATCGCATCGACGGAGTTTTCGGGGGTAGATTTCCTTTTTTTTTTTCTCTCAGGGGAAGTCAAGATTTCTATTAATGTGTTCTTGTTTTCTTTTTTTCTTTTTTCTTTTGGGTTATACACAATATATTCAGCATGTCGTTTTACGGTGTTCAGAGCTGTTGATAGCGAGTTTCTTCTATTCTTTTGATTGTCTGATTCATTACGGCCCTCGACGGGCTATGCATTGCTGCTAAGGCAGAAACTATGATTATTTCCAATGTCACACACTCTGTCCCCCTTTGTTACCTTACAGCAGTCAGGCTGACCCCCGGTGGCGTTAATCTGAACCAAAAGAGTTAGACGAACGATCGGGGCTCCACCGGTTTGTTTCCAAGGACCGGGACCGCAAAGTGGCGCTATCCTATTTAGGCCTGGCGCGGGAAGCATTCCCTTGGATAGCAGTGGAGCTGAGTGGCGGAATTCCCATCCATTCCCGGATACCTTGACGGTTTGGGTAAGGGTAACATAGGGGGGGGGAAGTCCGGCAATGTACTACATAAAGCCGGAGTCTCCTACGGAGAGATAACTATCCAGAGTCCAAAGTACGGGGAACTAGATAGTAAATCCTTAACTAACTTAATTCTCCGGGTTAGTGGTTTTCTGGAGTCTTCGACTGACTCATGAAGTGGCCCGTTTCAGTAAGGGCTTGTTCCCTACGGGGTATCCAGTTCGGAAAACATGTGGCGTAGCTGAACAAAGATCCACTATACTTGATTTGGATTAGTGTTAGATGAGTTCGTCACGGTATGGTTATCTTATTGGTCCGGCTTTTCCTTTGCATATACTAGCCAGATCAGTAATCACAGTGCAAAGTACGGTCATTGTTGACTACTTGTACAGTATGTCTTAGTGTACTATGCACAAAGTATATGAACCGGAATACGCGCAAGGATCATGCAGAAACAGTCGGAGAATTAATCTCTGTCAAAACAACTGTCGTCGATCGACGCGTCATCTTGCCGTACTTTGTAAGTCCTCTGAACTCCATATTATGGAGCAAAATGCTCGTACAGAGTACTCTGTACAGACCACACGGTATTTGTAATTGGGCCCTGATCACAAGGGAACCGTGCGAACGAGCGTTTATGCAGTGCGCCGAAAGTACAAGCACAGCTGAGTAGGGCTGATCATTGGCAGATTTTGTCCGAGTTTTCATCTGGGCAATATCCTTGGTTGAGCGTCGAAGATCGTTATACATGGCTTTTTCCTAATCTGTATGACGTCCGAAAACACGATGTTCAGTTGACAACCAATCTACATCTATACACAGAGTATGGACACCGGTTCCTTCGATCAGATCCCATGCCGAGGATCATCGAAAAGCACACAAACACCCTCGGTACCAAAGGATGTTAAATCTCTTTTCCCGATAGAGCCAGCTGTTGCTCGTTGCTAGTTCCATGGGTCGAGGGCGTTGTCCCGATGCTGTTACGTTTGTTTTTTTAGTCTCGGGCCCGACCCAGTTTCAGGGGTAGTGTATGGGTATTTCTCGTAAAACTCTTCACGGGACGGAGATACCAACGGTTTCTTGCTACGGAATCGTTGTGTGGATCGGATCGGGCCGGTGGAAGTTGATGTATGCACTCCGGGGGGGTCGGATAACTATCGGATGTTGGCGTTGGGGTTGAGGTTGTCCAATCTGTAGAGAACTTTACCTAGTATCTTATGGAGTAGGTAGATTATATGGGAATCTGCTATGGAGTGTGTCCTTGGCTCACTCAGCGCTTTTTTCATTCTGGGTGTCAGTTATTTTTGCCTGATTGCTGCCTTCGTGTCATTTTTATGCCTTATTGCCTTATGGACTACACGTGATATTACATAATTGCACGTGACCACTCGACCAACCATCGTAATGGCTCTTCGCGTTCCGTTATCAACTGCCAGCAACATAGGGCAATGCCCCGATCATTCACTCTAATATAATCAAGACCACCTCATTGAGTGATAGGAGGTGTGTGAAAATGACCATCACGACAACGGCGCCATCGCCATCATCCGCCGAACAATGGAGACTCTTCCTCGACCAATGTCTAAAGCATCGCATAGATGCGAATGAGTTTAAGAATCTATCAAATATACTGGCTGCAAGGTGCTCGGTTTCAGAGTCTGTTCTGGTGGATGTCCTCTGTGATGTGCGCGCGGTGGGCGCCGCCGCGGGTGTCAAGTGGGATCCCTTGGTCCCGGTTTATATAGACTGTCTGTGTAAGACGGAGCGAGTGAAGATTCCATCTGTACTGGCAGGATTGTTGAAGCGGTCATATATTCTACCGCAGTCGCAGATTCAATCATCGGATGAAAGCGAAAAATCGAAACAACAGAAAAAAAATGGCTACACGCTCATGACGGATATCAGAGTCATCCAGGATGTCATGTTGGCTGTTTCGACAGGGAATAGCACGCCCCGAACCGCTGCTGAAGCGATGGAAATCTTTTCTGCTGCTGTGGATTGGATCCAGGCCGTTGTGGCGTGGCATCAGCAGCATCAGCAGACGGGGGGTTTGATGGGGTCCCCGGATGTGGTGTCGTTGTTTGAGTCGTTGGGAATTCTGCTGGCGGCGCTATCAGGGACGACTAAGGGGGTTGATGTGCTTTCGTCTGATAATGAGGGTATTTTCTTTTCCTCCCAATTCACATTCAATACCAATGCTAACCGGACAGGATTGAAAATCAAACTCGGACAGGCCCTTTCGGCCTATTTACCCCTCTGCGTCGAGGTGTCTCTTCCCCTCCGGAATCGACTGGACAGCTTACAGAAAGAGTTCAATCTTTACGGCGAGCCGGCGTCCAAGTCGTTGGATATGACCATGATGGACGGGATGAATGTTAACGCGCTTCAATTCGAGGCCTCGGTTATGGACGGGCCTGTGATCAATTCGAGAGCTGGTCTCTACGTTTATATAAATTCTATGCTTGTCGGGCGGCCATTGATTGATGATAATATGCTGCTTAGCTATCTTGTTAATCGCTATGGGGTGCGTATCCATATTCTGTGTGTGGATTTAGCTGACAGTCACAGGGTCATTATAAAGCTCTCATCGAGGAAGTTATCACGGCCTCATTTGATGTGTTGTCAAACGCCATGTATCGAAACGAGTCCAACCGCACCATGTTTATATTCCGTTCGTTCCTGGTGAATAAATTGCCCGCCTTCTTTGCAACCATGCTGGCCGCGTCAATGGTCTCCATCCCCATGGAAATCTGCATCAGCAACGCCCTTGGTCGCCTCGATCCGAATACCTTTCCGTCATTCTCGCAAATGTTCTCCATGCAGGGAAATACGGTCCTGTCGGACGTGAGGCAGGAGTTTCTGTTCGCCTGCGCGTCTCATCAACTTATCCCTGAGTCTAGCATTGAGCGGTTGCTAGGAGAGAATCCGATGCAAGCGGTTCCGGTCGGTCATGTCAAGGATGACCTTGTATCGCAGATTTATGCGAACCCGGAACGGGCAGAACAGTTGACTAATGATATTGAGTCGACGGAGGGGAATGCGAATGCTATTGTGGGTGCGGTTACAGAAGTGAGTTCACCATATTCTCTAACTGGTAAATTATGCTAACTTGTCAGGTTATACATCAACTCTGCAATCAAAAAGAAAGCATGACACTGAAAAACATTTGCAACTCCCTCTCGCGACGACCCCAAGCACTGGATGTAATTCTGCTTTTCCGCAGCACGAAACAAATCCTTCAACCACTTTGCACACTACTTGATAACTGGCACTGGGACAGCGACCAAGGCGAGAATCAGCCCGTCTACGATGAATTCGGAAGTATCCTACTCTTAATTTTGAATTTCAAGTATCGCTACGATCTGAAGCCGTACGAGCTGGGTATCAGCAGTGACGACTCGTTCGTGCTCAAATTACTGGACCGGGGTTCATGCAGCCAGAAACTGGAGGATTTGACGGAGAAGCAGAATAAGGATCTTGGGGCGTGGATTGGGGCGTTGTTCATCGCTGAGGGAATTAGCGAGGAGACCATGTCGAATTGCAGTCCACAGGAGTTTTATCTCCTTGTGACTACGCTGTTCAGTCAGAGTCTCGGGGCGTGTGAAGCGGGGAAGTTGGAGTTTGAAACCCTGAAAGGAGGGTTCGAATACCTCCTCGAACCATTCTTACTCCCGTCACTCGTGGTCGCGCTGGGATGGCTAGGAAACCGAATCTGGGAATCAGAAAGCGAGCCAACCATCGCGCTGAAAACGCTTCATTCCCTTGTCAGTCCGACCTCGATCTCCGGCGAAGCGCAAGCCATCCACCAAACAGTCCTGAGCATGACGGCACGAACCCTCGAAGAACAACTCAAAGACGTCCGCGCGCGACACCCCTCACGAACAGATATCAAGCCCATCCTCGACGCCCTTGAACCGCACCTCTCCTTCCAGAGGACAGGGGGCTGTCACCGCACCGAGTTGGAGAGCTGGAGCCATTCCGGAAACGGTGGCGCGGGAGGTCTTCTGGGTAGTGTTCGCAATACATTCCAGTCGCTGGTTCTTTGGAGCACGAACCCGGAGATCAGCATGGCGCCGCCGTCGTACACGCATCGGCAGGTTGTGGTGGGGGTGAGGATGCTGGGCGCGTCGCGGGTCTTGCGGGCGCTAGAGGAGGAATTGAAACTGCAAACTGAAGCAGGGAGCGGGGATCTGGCGTTGGATGTCGCTGCGATGATAGTGAGCGCGCCAATGATGGAGTCATTCACAGCAGACCAGATGCACTACCACCCGCCCGAGAACAAGGACCAATCACAGCAAACCAAACAACAACAAGCAGCGGCCAATCTGCGCAGCCCAGTCCTAACCCTCCGCGACGCCCTCAGCATCCGTCACCAAGACGTGCCAAGGGTCTCGGAGAAGGACCCGCTACGAGCGGAGATGATCGTTCGGCTATACCGACGCGTGAACGCCGTGACGGCACCAACGGCGCAGGTACCGAGCTTAGACGTCAGCAACATCCTCGGCAACATGCCCGTGGCCGACCAATCATCACAGCCCCAGGCGCAACCACAGTCACAAACTCAACAGCAGTCACAGCAACAGCAGCAACAATCGCAGCAAGCACAGTCGCAAGAACAGCAACAGCAAAATCAAATGGACCTCGATGCGGATGCGGAAGATGGCGATTTCAGCCATATGCTGGATACGGCGGCTGCGGCGACTGGAGATGGCGGGGGAGGCATGGATGGGATGGACATGGGGACAGGGCTGGATACGAGTATTGATGATGTGTTGAATGCGGCGGATATAGCGGCGGTTGGGAATCCGGAGTTTTTGGATCTGGATATGGAGGGAATGTTCTAGTGTGCGTCATGTGTACGGTGTATAGATTGCGTTTAATGTGTGTGTGGAATATGCACTCGGAATATATATCTATGGTACTACCGTTACTCCGTCCAATTATTGGTTCTTAATACAAGGAATATAATCCATCAGATAACAAACAATCCTGATCCTATACAATACAAGCAACTCGGCAATCACAAACTGCAAGAACTCCGTACAAAGTACGGAGTGCCATGCAAAATACACGCCCGTCACACCGCACGTGAACACCCAATCACTACCCCGAAAAACGTGACGAGATGCAGCTGCGGCTACCGAGATACAAATTCTGCAGAATCGCATCGATTCCCGTACAGAGTATTGTATTTTTATTGTTTGTCACTTTAGTGTGGGGGAGTACCATTACAAGTTATGTTCCTGCAGTGAAAGATCAACAGTTCCTAATGCACTGATGAGTACTTTTGGTAATTGGGAGTGTCGGTTTGCATCATCGTCTGGCTGGAAGGGGTAAGTTGGGTCCGACTATAGTCCGACTACTGTGTACTTGTAAGTATGTACATGAGTCGGATTGGAGTCAGATATCGACTAGAAAGCATAGTAATAGAGTGCAGAGGACAATACTATTATATCTCGAACCATGGATGGATATTGCTTTTATCTGATGCGATAGTATCGATGCTTGGACACTTATGGGCACTGTGCGTGTGGTGAGGCGGTTTAGTCATTCGGATGAGAGCCGGAAGAAACACCGAATACAGTAATGCTGTCACTATCACGCTGATCACAAATACATACTCCGGAGTATTCACGGAGTATAGTTGCTGTGTCTGAGTAGGTGATAGCGGGATGTATCACGATATATAATCCAGAGCCCGTCATGGCAAAAAAAAAAAAAAAAAAAAAAAAAACCAACATCCAACCACGTGCCATAAACACAAATATAGCCACGCACGTGCGAGATTCCGCCGAAAAAGTCAAGTTACCACAGGCCACCAACACTAATACTCCTCCATACTCGGTAGTGTACCAAGGTCTGGCCCAGCAGTGGCAGGTGACTAAGAAAAGCCGATTTCTTTGTGCCTGCGCAGATCCAGCGACATATTTTCTTTTGCCGGAAGTAACGAACAGGAAGTAGGAGCCGTTCTGCCGGATTTTAGTCGAAGTTTATATGCGCTTGAAAGTGTACTTGGGGAAATAGGGGGAAGTCGAGTGGATTACTGGATTGGGAGGGTGGTTACCGGTGGTGTGGTTTAGTTGTTATTGCCTAGCAACAGGTTTGTAACATGATGCTTTGTAATTCCTTACTTGGTTTCAGTGGTCTACTTGACTGTACTTGTATGGAGTGCTTACTGTGGAAATTATGCCTGATAACTAGTCCCCTGATATCAAAAATCAGACCAGGTGGTCCGTGTATGAACCGTGGTTCTATGCGGAGTGGTCATACCACAGGTACAATGCCTTGTATGGAGTATATCTTGTATAACATAACAATATAGTAGTAGCATACAAATACTCCTACAAGTACTATGTAAAAGTACACCCAAAAGAAAATATTACTATAGAAACTAGTAGAGGTAAGAATAGAATTGCGTATACCGTACCTCTGTAACAAAGACTAATGTCGGTACTTACGGTACGGAATACCGTCGCTGATCAGTGAGGGGCGTTTGCCACGGTTGGCCCTAGTGGAGAACTAGGCTTCATATAGTTAGTATGTGATGGACTCGAACCCCTGTTTGTTTACTGTACTCACATTATTTACGATACTGTATTCATGGAATACAAATACTTGAATAGAGTATAGGAGAATTGAATTGAATAGTCTATGCAGAGATAATATCGAATAGGAGAATACTTTGAATAGAGTACATTGGTTATGATATGATATATAGAGAAAATAATAAGATTATGTACGGTACTTGGTAATACATGTGATAACCGTGACCGGGATCGCTGCTCCACACTTTTACGGCCGTCGCGCTCTTTCATCGGCGGTGCTAACTAACCATATCACACTCGATCTTCTCTCGTCCTCTCTCTCTATCCTTTCTACTTTCTACTCTTTACCCTTTCTACCCTTTCTCTATCCCGTCCTCCTCCTGCTCTCCTTCTGTATCATCTCCTCTTATCACCATAACCAACAGGATACAGACATTCATTCCCTGTCTTAAACCCTTTCCTACTCACCCTTGCGTACTTGGAGATTTCTCGCTGTCTCGCCAATTCGCTTCCTGCGCCTTTCATCTGTCGTCATCCTGTTATTTGTTTTATTTTTACTCCCTCCTGCTCATCTCACGATCCTCTAAAAGTCTGGGGAGCCCGTGTCGGTCTTTCAATTCCACTCCGGACCACAGGACTCACTCTCTGTCCTGGGTTCATTCACTATTCTCCAGTCATTCTCTCGTCGATTCTCGATTCATTCTCTCATACTCTGTACATCCAGCTAATTGCCACTGCCATTGCCACCATTGGTACGTAACCCCCCAGCATTCCGCGCATCGGGGTCTCTCCCTAGTCTCGTCTCCTCCATTCTGCCCTACCTGCCCTTCCAAAACATTCTCGCTATGCTCTCATGCTCGTGCCCTCGTGCTGGAAGAGTGCATCCCCATTGACATTACTCGACAGTGCTGCCATCATCCATTCATTGACCATCCACCTCCCAACACTCGATATCGATACGTTTCATTTGTCGCATTAAGGATGCCTATTGGATCCTCTCGCACATAATCTTCTCTGGTCTTAGACCTGTGTGCAATGAACAGACTTCCAAGAGATATGGAACCCTCAAGACGACCGATTCCTCCGTTGAAAATCGTCAAAGGCGACTTTAATTCTGTCGCTGTTGGGCCCAATCAACATACCACTCGTTATTATAACTCACCAACTAATTCGCAATTCACGCCCCCAATGACTCCCCACGCCGTCAAAGAAGAAGCAGAAGAAGAAGAGGGGACCGACAACAACGATACCATTATGGAGGAGCTATCAGAACCCCCCAGAGCCATCTTCCACGACTACCTTCGTGCTTTTTACCCGTTCCATCCCTCTGGAGACGTCTCCCCCTCCACTGTCACCTTACCATTGGACCAAGGCGACATCATCCTAGTCCACTCGGTCCACATTAACGGTTGGGCCGATGGGACCTTGCTGGATACCGGCGCTCGCGGCTGGTTGCCGACCAACTACTGCGAGGCCTACGACCAAGTCTCCATGCGCCCGCTTCTCAGGGCTTTGACGGACTTTTGGGAGATCATCAGAGGAGGATGCGGATCATCACTCAAGGATTTTGGTAACCAGGACTTGATGCGGGGATTGATAGCCGGTGTGCGATTTCTTTTGGTAAGTGGACTACGCCGCACTATGTTTTCACGCACAAAGAAAGCGGGGGACGTCCGTGCAGTGGAACTAACCAGACTAGGAAAAATCCGAATGCCTCACACGAGAATCATCCCTGATCAAGCAGCATGACGGACTGCGCCGTACTCGAAAAGGATTGTTAACCGACCTGTCGTCCCTGGTCAAAACCGCCAAGAATTTCCGGGATATCGCCAATGGTACTCCCATGGACGAGGAGGTCGAGTACATCTTGGATGAGATGTTACTCAAGGCCTTCCGTGTTGTTACGCGCGGCGTGCGATTCCTCGATGTCTGGACCGAAGAGGTCGGTCTCGGTCGAACCATTGCTGAGCTGGAACACTCCAATATGCATGGAGCCGAGGGCCAATACGATAGCCCGCTGACTCCTCCCTCTGACACCTTTCCCGACCGTGCTCCTTCCGCGGCTGAAACCGAACGGAACGAATCTCGCCTTTTGAACCGTAGCCGAATGGATATGAGCCGTGCGTCTACGCGCCTAGACATGGGCGATTCGCAGCCTCGACCAATTTCCGTCTCCACCAAACGGGTCTCACACCGCGTATCATACTCGTCCCCCGCTGCCGCCGCCCGTAACCCCAATCTCGCGTCCGAGCGTCTAAACGCCACCTACGATGCCTTTTTGGGGGTTTTGGGGTCCTTCATCGGCTTGCACTTGCAGTCACGCTCCTCCACCGAATTGATTGTCACCACCGAACAGTCTGTACAGGCTTGTCGTGCGCTGTTGACTGTCATCGAGGCCGTATGCGAACACGGTATTCAGGGTCGGGACCTTCTCGAACAAGCCAAGGAGAACATGTATGAACGCCTCTCCGAACTCGTCCACGCTGCGCGCGATGTTTTTCGACCGGCTCAATCGTCCGACGACGACGTGGTTTTCATGCCTGACGAGGGTAAGCGTCTGGTAGAAGCAGCAACGGACTGTGTGCGTGCTGCTGGGAACTGCTGTGCTAAGGCTCGCCTGGTGTTGGAGCAAATTGGAGATTTTGAACTAGAGTCTGAAACACAAACAGCACCAACACCGGAGTTGAATACCAACAAGAGCGACCACGATACCCAGAATAACGCTGGACCCCCACCTGAGGAGGAAGTCCAGACTCCTCAACCGCAACGCACGACCCAGGTCGATCAACAAAGGTCGCTGCGACCGCCGCCGCCGCCGCTACAAATCCCCAGCAACCACAACTTTCACCACCTTTCCCCTTCTACTACGGCGACTACTATCTCTGCTTCTACTCCCGACCTGACCGACGATACCACTCCTTCCTCCTTCCACTCCCGTGCTTTGAACAGTCCCGCCCAACCCATCGAAATCTCTTCATCTATTCCCTCCGCGACCGCTTTGTCCTTTTCCTCTTCTTACGAAGCTGCAGACGGTCTGCGCCGTGGCAGCAATGCCAAGTCGGATGTCAGTGAGTCCTTTGGCCGTGGTGTCACGAGCACTGGCAGCAGCTTCATGACCTACAACAGTCGTCTCCGTGATTCTGAGATGAGTGGTGTCTCGCAAACCTCGACCCGCGCTACGTCGCCCGATCTGAGCAACCAATACCAGCCCTCGCTCAAGGGTAGCGTGAGCCACTCGACATTGGCAGAGGAGAATGAGGAGACTGAGGCCAACATCCTGGAGAAGACGTTTGCGCACG